AGAGGCTACAGAAGGAGTTGCCTCTGGAATGGCAGAGCCACTGGCTTTTGCTTTTGCTTTTGCCATTGCTTTCTTCTTGGGGGTTGGTGGCTCCACCTTCACATCGGGAGCCTTTCTTTTTGCCATCTAGCTACAGACACTGGCCAGTTGTTTAAAGCTTGAGGTCAGAAAAATGGCTGCAGATTTTTTGGGTGGGGTTGAAAAATGTGACCAGGAACTTTTTGGAACTTTCGGAACTTTTGGAATTTTTGATTTATATAAGAAAACAATATCTAGGAAGAGAAAGTTCCAAAAGTTCCATAGTCCAAAAGTTCCAAAAGTTCCTTTTTTACATCCCTTTTGAAGTACCACTGAAAGCAGGCAGGCGCACCTTTTTTTTCCAAAAACTCTCAGCTGCAGTGCTGGTAGAATGCCTTTTCAGGCAGGGTGCCATTGCTGGCAAGTTGCCATTGCTGGCATTTAAGGAGCAGCAACTGGTTCTGCTGCCCCTGCACCTCCAGTATCACCATCTTTTCCACCACTAGGATCCTTTTCCTGAGAGCCATTGTCTGGCTTTTCTTCCTTTGGCTGCTTTTTCCCTCTGGCTGTTTTGCTTCTCCTCCTGTTCTTTTTCTTTTTGCCTTGATCAGGCACTCCATCACCATCATCTTCTTCATCCTCCTCCCCCTCCTCATCCCCACCTTGAATGAGGGTGCCATCTGCTGGCATGTGCTCACATCTTGGTTTCCCATCTTTGCCTAACCTTGTCCCCACACTCTTCGACCTCTCCCTGCCATTGCCATCACTGGCGCTGGAAGCCTTGCTCTTTCTTGTGCCCCCCTCGGCAGAGGAAGCCTCTTGGGCCCTCCTCTCTGCATCTTCCCTAGCAACAATGGCTAGCCGGTCTGCTTGTTGCTTTTCCCATTCATCCAACTTTGCTGGATCTTTTTCTTGGGCCATTTCCCTGGCTTTGCGATGCAATTCATACATTTGCCTCTTGAGAGCCTTATTCAGACTGTGGACCCTGGGCTTTAACTCCTCAGGGACTTCTTCACCTTTCCTTTCCAACTCTCTTCTTTGAGCTCTTCTTTTGGCAGAAGCCCTGCCATGAAACATCAGGGGCTCCTTTTGGTAAATTGACATTCACCAAAAAATACGGTTTGGATTCAGAGCCATCCCTGGCTCGGATGTAGCCCTTCTCCTTGAAGTTGCCCTTTTTGACCTAGCCAAAGCTGCAGCTTGCTACCCATGTGTTGTGGGTTGCCATGTGCACATGCTTTGCAGGCTTGGTAACTTTTGCAGTCTTGGGAGCCATTGCTGGCTTTTTTGGGGGGGTCATGCAGCTGGCAGGCCTTTTGTAGCTGCAATTCTTCCCATTTTTGGGTTTCAGCTTTTGAGGGGTCACTATACCAGATGAAGTGGAAGAAACTTCCTGTGTGCTGACCACAAAAGCTTCCTTTTCTTCACTGCCTGAGCTTTCGCTCTCCACCTTGGACTTTGTGCTGCTTGAGGCATTAAAATGTTTGATTTGGTGGCTGGAGCCTTTCCAGGCTGGGAGTCTTGCTTTTGAATTGTTGCCTTGTCATTTTCAGGCTGGGGGTCTTGCTTTTGAATTGCAGCCATTGCTGGGTCAGGGGCCATAAGAGAATCAGATGGCATGTGTGTTTTTCTTTTTAGCCTTCTTTCAGGCTGAGGCTGGGGTTCACTGGCGATGGGTGCCAAGCCCATGGCTTTCATCACTTGGAGGACTGCAGGGCTTGTCTTCTCTCCATTTTTCATATTTTTAGCTTTTTTGGTCAGCCATCTCTTGTATTGCACCAAGTGCTGAACGATCTCACCTCTGTCCAAATTTGACATTTTAGGGCAAGCAATTTGGAAAGAGAGCCTTGCTTCAGGCTTAGTGGGCTTTTCAGCAAACCAGACAGACAAAAAGGTTGCTTGCTTTGAAATAGCCATGTCTGGCTCAAGGGGAAAATCTGCCAAGCTACAATCCGGCACAAAGCCAGAGATGAGGCCAACCAATTTTTGTCATTCTTCCATCGCCTTTGGTCTGCTCCACTGGCAAAAGACGAGCCATTTCCAAAAAGATCTATGCTCTTGAGCTTGGGCTAGGTTGATGACATGGTTAGTAAATATATATCTATATATATATATATTCTTTTTAGTTTGTTAATGAGCTACCATTTCCAGAAGCTAAAAAAACAAGCTTCTAGAAGCCAAAAACCAAATTTCTAGAAGCCAAAAAAACAAGCTTCTAGAAGCCAAAAAACAAGCTTCTAGAAGCCAAAAATTTTGGCTTCTGGAGTGCTAACATTAAAAAATACTGGAAGCTTGTTTTTTTGTCAGAAGCTAAAAAAAGTAGCTGGCAGACAGTTTTCAGAAGCTAAAAAAACAAGCTGCCAGACAAAAAACCAGCTGGCAGTCAAAAAAATGGGCTTCCAAAACTGGCTTCCAGGAGGGTGGGAGCCAAAAAAACTAGCTGGCAGATAGAAAACAAAGCTTCTCGGAAGCTAAGGGAAGCCTCCAGGGCCTTAAAGCGAGCCAGAGGCCCTGCGAAGAAAGCCATGGAGGTAGAGCAGGACCGCTGGCTGGAATCCTACAGGGCGGAACAAAATGAAAAGTCAACCGGAGTGGTGCACAACCCCGCTCTGATGTTTGCTTTCGCCACGACATGGATGCTGAGGGAAGTCGAGCTGGCGGCAGTCTACAAGGAGGACATTGTGATCGACCCGAAGGAACGAATAGTCTCGCTGACACTCAGGATTTCGAAGGGTGATCAAGAAGCGATGGGCTTGAAGCGAACTCTGCAATGCGATTGCCAGAGCTGCGATTGGACAGAACCGTGTCCCTACAACATCGCGAAACGAGTTCTAGACAACACCCCAATCGAAACAGATTGTATAGTTCATGGCGACGGCGAAGGAACGGTGGAAAAGAGTCAGATAATCGCAGCCTGGCGGAAGCTGTACGGCAAGAAGGTCTCAGGGCATTCGGGCAGAAGATCAGGTGCCTTGCAATATATTAGAAGGGGATGGCATGTCCCCCAAGTGGCGTACTTGGGACGATGGAAATCCAATGTCATACTCCAGTACGCCGAGGAAGCCTTGGAGACGATGCCGGTTATGGCGCGCTCGAGAAGAAACACGGGTACGCCACCGTCGAAGACGGAGATCATCACGAAGACGACAGAGGAACCGGGCACGAAGGTCTTGGAGAAGGTGAAGGAAACCGGAGCCAAACTGAAAAAGGAGATCGAACAACTGAGAGCAATGCAAGACAAGTTGGACGAATCCATTGACAAATGGGAAGAAATTTCCATTCGACATCAAGGGCTACTACCACCTGTGGTGATTTCAAAAGCTGGTTTGGTGCATGAGAACAGACGACAACCAGTGGCTTCACCTGTGACGGCTTGGCACACGAGGTGTGGATGGCCCTATGGTTCTTCAAATTTCTGCTTTGGCCAGGACATCACGACGGTGACGTGCTTAAAGTGTAAGACCCTTGCGCTGGGCATCGAGGAGAAAAGTGGCAAGGGTGGAGGTTGAATGAGCATGGAAGATCATGCACCTCTGACACCAGCGTTCGAAAAGCGTGCTTGAGTTTGAATTTGGGTGGATAGCACACCATATTGTCGTGGAAGAAAATTGAAGATTTTCTGTAGGACAAACTTTGGTGTGCTTGGGTGGGGGTCAGGGCTGCTCGTGCCATTTTGGCTCAAGCCCTGACTCCCACCATGATGAATTTTCCCACCCACCCACTCCATAAAGGAGAGGAGAAAAGTGGCAAGGGTGGAGGTTGAATGAGCATGGAAGATCATGCACCTCTGACACCAGCGTTCGAAAAGCGTGCTTGAGTTTGAATTTGGGTGGATAGCACACCATATTGTCTGCATGAGTAACTTTCCCAGTCCCGTGTCTTTTGCTCAAACATCGGTAAGAGGCAAGTGGGAGGAGTCAGATTCCGCGACTTGCATAGGAAGCAACAGGGATGGATCGGCCGTTTTTTCGGTGTTCCATTTGCAACTTTGGTCAAGCAAGGAAGGCCAATTAGCTTGCGTTCGGCAAACTGTCAGATTAAACCTGATTTCCTTCCAAAAGATCCGATTACAGTGCCCTGGTCCCTTGATGTTGGCATTTGATATGCTCATGGAGAGAGACTTGGATGCTGTACCAAGAGAGTTGAGTAAAGCCGTGAGAACCTTCCACGGCATGTAAGTCCAACCCCTACATATCCTTCACGAGACTCGGACACCGTCGGACACCCGAAACAAAGCGACACTGGAAAACCGTGTGATTGTTTTGACTCAGATCCACTGGCGTCCTGAGGCTGTTTGCAGTTTGCCGCTGGGCAGCCGCATCACATGACGATAGCATGATTCCTTTGCATCATTTTTCCCCGCATCATCATACTTACGCGCATCGCAATTTTTAATTCAATCAGCTACATCATGTTTGTTGATTGCATCGCCGTATTCTCCCAATTTAAACCTGCCCTGGGCCAGTGGGATTGTCGGAGGGCCACCACTGATGTTTAAATATGTGTAAGCAAGTTAGTCTACTGTTGGACTCCGTTCTCTATCGACAATTGACATCCTTCAATCACAAGACTGGAACATGATGTTGAATGCTGGGACCAGAACCAGCAAGAAGAGTCCTTCATTTCCATTGCCCAAAACTAGATTAATGATCACCCGTTAACACCAAGCTCCAGTTGTTCTGGAGAGCTAGGCCCTGCTGACTGTTCAAGCTCCAACCGTCAACCGAAACCTCACTCACTTGAAGCAAAAACGCTGGAGTTGGGAGTTCTCCATACTTGGAGACATACCCGCTTCACTTCTCATGAATGTTCATTTAGGGTTCTATCATGTACGCATGTTGGGCCGTGCTCAGTCGAGCCTCAGGCACATCATCAAAATCAGCAACCCCACATTCATCGATACGTGGTGATCATCAGTAGACCCACCCATTGCAGATTGTGGGCCCAGCAGGGTCACCTGGCCACAAAAATCTCACTTGCAGGTAAGGACGACATCCATGTCCATGGGGAGACGGTGACCTTCGAGGAGAGGGGGATGGATTGGTGGTCAGCGCTTGGATATCAAGGCTTGTAAAGAGCACTTGACCCGTTGTTCAGATATAGACACCCCTTATATAGAGTAGCCTAAGTGCAATTTGAGTTTTTCCACCACTTAGTTTATGGGCCCCGTTACTTTTGGAATGCATTGTGGCTGTGGATCACCCCAGTGATGGAGCTGATACAGTCACCCTATCATTTCCACCATCGTTTAGAGGTAAAGACCGATGGTGGATGCAAAACTCGAATTGCAACTTTCTCGTGCGCATCACTTTTTCAAGTCAGAACGACAGAATAACTTTCTGCTCACAGAAAGCTGCAAAAAATAAACATGTGCAGACAGATTGAACAAATGCTACATCTCTTCGGCGTAGTTCACCCCGGGGATGTGGGTAATGTGCTTGAGATCGGTGGGATGTGATGCATGAACTTCCCATGCATTGCATGCGGGACTTTCCAACTGTTGGTTATCCTTTGGCAGGGAACACCACAACTGCATACGACTTGCACAAAAGTAAGAGGAGAAGCTGCTTCTCTTCACCATAGGCCCATGGGTCTTTAGTTGGGCCGTATAGAACATGCCTCATGTGTCAGACCCCTGTGTTTACCTTGTTTGCAGGTCTCAACACATCTCAACACAATTACTGTATATATATATATATTATGTATATACGACTTCTAGCTGCTCAGGTTCACAAAAAGAATCATTTCAACCTCGATCACTGGGGGCTGAGCGATGATGTCCAGCGCCCGGTCAGGAGTTCCAACGATATCTTGCTGATTTCTCCACCATCGAGAACATCATTCAAGAACATCACGTGCCGATGAAGCTTAGACATAATATTGAGATGTATTGAGATATTGAGATGCTTTATGATATTAAATATGTTTTCCTTTGTTCTTTAAGCGTGCATCTCTGCGTTCCATCGACGGATAAGCCACCAGATTCTCCGTGGCACCAACCATGGCGCCACCGGACCAAGCAGAAACCATTCGCGGCTCCGCGGCTCCTTGTTCCGGCGTCCTTGCACGTCCCCAAGCCAGACACTAGTAGCATCCGATCGCTCCCTTCGTGGCGATGCCCTTTCTTACTGGTAGGTTCTTGCTCCTAGTAGTAAGGCCAGGATCCACTAGTAGCGTTCTTGCTACTAGTAGTAATGCCAGTAATGCCAGACACTCCACGGGACTGGAATTATGCTTTATATTTGTGGTCATTACATGGGAACGTTAACAATTCCAGTGGCAGTGGATGGTGTGGACACGGGACATCGTGTTTTGTGTAGAACACGTGCTTCCTTTGGCGAACTCTTAACGTCTCAACCCAACCCAACCAGCCATGGAGAACGGGGAATCTGACTGTACTATATTGGTGACTGACGCGAGCAGCCGCACTGGTCTTATAAGCTGCGAGACCAGTATCCAAGAAACATCATCGTGATGGATCAAGGGGTCTCAGCATGTGGGCTGAAGCGGGGGCCTTTCAAAACCTTCCTTTGGAAGCGTGGATGGTGAGAAGTTTAGTACAGTTAATAAATACGGTTGCCAGGGACACGCACTGCCTGCTGTGTCCTTGGAATCAGGCATCAACATTTGGTGCCTGGTGAATATCACAGTGAAACAGTATCCTTTGGCGGTTGGGTCAAGTAACTAATGTAGACTCTTGATTAAACTTATCACAACTCCCCATTGGGTTTGTAAGACCTGGATATGTCGGCGTAAGCTATCCTAACCGCACATGGGCGGCCTCAGAGGTCGGGTCACGGCGGGGGGTCTGGATCATCCGGGTCGCTTGAAGGTTTGACCTCTCATGTGTTTTCACCCAAAGGCAAACCACTACGAACAAGAAGCTCTTAGGTCACAAAGGGCATCGCTGCTAGTAACAAGGAGGCTACTAGTAGCTCCTGGCATCGCTACCAGGAACCAGAAGCTATACTACTGTCAATCTGTGTGACTCATCTTTTTCTCTCCGTACACCTCTCCGTCGCAAACTGCACATTGACCGCCTGAGGAGCCAAGCTTCTTTTGGAAGCGAGCGGGCTTCGTCATTGAGTCCTTAGATTCGATTGAGGCGACCATCAGCCCAAAAAAGGTAATGATTGGTTTGTCTCATCTTCCATGAGCTAACCTGGGCAACTGCCCAGAGTTTTCCAGCTCCTTGGATATACCTCGTAATTTGGTTCCGGAATTGCCAGTCGATGCGCCCTTGAAATTTTCTCACTGACGATAAACAAAAGCTACCTACTGGACAAAATCAGGACAAAGCTACCTACTAGATCTTGTTGCTGACTGGGTGTCATGGGACGCCCGTTTTGCTTTCTTCCCGACGTCATGGGACGTCATGGGACGTCATGCTGAAAGGCTGACCGTCAGTGCAAAGGCGCGGCATTCCCAACGTTTTTTTCATGCGTGGTTTCTGTTTGGAACGGAGTGACTGACCGGTTCCATCTTTAATAAATGTTAAAATATGTTAAACAGAATAATTAATGATATAATATGAATAGTTAATATGCAATATTATATACAAGCCCAAATTGGGCTGTGTCGCTTCCCTTCACAAAGGTCTTCCAAGTTCCAGACAGGTTTCACCTTCAGCTGCGAGTAGTAGGTGCCCTACTGTGGCTGCGTGCATTAGAAGATTTTCTAAGCGCTCGAGATTTTGACGCGCCCGGAGACACTGAGGAGACTCTTAATTTGAGCTGAAGCATTCCCGACTCCAAACCCAACCCCCAAAGAAGTTCTAAAAAGAAGGCGCTGCGCGCGGAAATGTGCTGTGCTGGGAAATGCAACAGAATGTTTACAGGTCGTCGTTTCCGGATACTGTAAGGACGCATATGAATGGACAGGGATGATCAATGATTTCTTGAATTAATCTAATAGGTCAACTTATAGAGGTTGAGATACTGTAGATCCGGACGGTTACCTTTGGTTACCTTGAAACCAAAGCCTGCCCAAAGCGACCGAACCAGGCTGCGGAACTGGCCACGGAACTGGACTCGTCAAGCTGTGGGGACCAAAAAGTGAGCCGTGGGACATCGTGGGACGCGTTCTGGGTGGTTCGTAGCGTCCTTGCTCCTAGCAATGCCAGGAGCCCCTAGTAGCAAGACTAGTAGTATGGCCAGGAGCCCCTAGTAGCGTCCTTGCTCCTAGTAGCGATGCCAGGAGCCCCTAGTAGATTCTTGCTCCTAGTAGTATGTTTCATATTATATGTTTTCCATGTTCGCTGGCACTTTCATGAAGCTGCCCGACTCGGAGCTTACCAAAAGCAGCGAGATATGCAGTAGAGGAAATGTGGATTTGAACCGTGTCCTAACGGTTTTAGGCACTTCTCACGGCTCAACATACACATCAATGACCAACCACAGTGGAAACTGGTCGGCTAGGACTGCAACTACAATGGGGGTTGTTTGGTTGCGGTGGATGTTATTCGTGGGTCATCACTGGAGAACCAAGCAAACGTTGAAGCAGCCTATCAGCCTTTCATTTTGGACACCCACAGAGTTGGTTTGAAGAAGTACTGCATGGTCAACATGTCGCTTGTAGAATTCTGCTGCAGTTTTAGAGGCTTTGCCCATTCTCAAGGCCTAACCACGTCAACCCGGGACGTGACAGAATGTTCTTGAACCATATGATTTCGATGCCTGGCAAGCTGCTTCTAATTTACGCAAGGCGAGCAGCAGTAACGTCAAAGCACTTTGCTTTCTTCGACGTCAGACGTTTGAACGTGTGTTTGTGTGTTTGTTTTGACAAGTCGATTGACCGGAAGAACAGGTCGAAAGACCTTGGTTCTCCTCACGACTCCTCAACTGCACCAGCTGAGACCTGACCGGCGGTTGCTTCTCAAAGACTGAGAAGCATATTGGAGTTCTAAATCGGAATTGAAACCAGCTTTTCATGGTTCTGTTGGCCATGGCAGCGTGAACGCAGAATCGGCCTTGGGGAGTGCTTTCCAGCCACGCTGGGAAGCCAGAGGTCGCCATGTCCCCCAGCAGAGGCCTTGCATTTTGGCTCCCTGGCCAAATGGAGGATGGAAAGATATGATGAGATATGATACACTGGCATGGAAGTGGATGGCAGCACCGGTTTGGTCCGAAAATGCTCATCCAAGGGCCTTAAGGGGCCAAGCCATCCATGTTGGCCCATGAATTCGCTGTGGAGACAGATGTCACCGCTTCCATGCCGTCCGGGCCGTCCGGGTCCGTCGAGTGGTCGTTGGTTTGAAGGGTCCACATGGCCTACATGGGGAGGACCCGACGTGTTCCAGAGATTTCTCGTATGGCAGAGCAAGGTCGCTGGAACTAGTATTCACTAGTCTTGCCCATGACACTCTTTGCATTGCGGGATTTGCCCCAGTTGGAGGGGCTGCCACCAAGGTGCCTGGCAGAGCTAGTATGGGCTCAGGCGCCCAGTTGTTGTGTGTATTACATTGTATTACCTTTCAATCTTTGACAGCTCGAAATAGGAAGCACCACGTTGTCAGCATTTGCCGGGAATTCAGATGAATGAATGACCAAATGCCCGGAGATAAGGCGAGCAATGCACAGATACGCATTGTCATGCCACTTGGAGGGACTCTTCCAACAGAAGCTTCAAGAGGCAGCAGAGAGGCTGCTCATGAAGGACAATTGGTGAATCAATCGATGATGAACAAACACCAGCACCACCTAACTGATACACTACGAACAACCTGAATTATGGATCTCCCCTTTGCTGCCACTAGCAGTGCCATCAAAAGTACCCACCATGTTCTCCATCAACGGACCTTTTTGCACCGCAAGAATTTGTTTGCGTAGCTGCTCGAACGCTACGCAGGTGATGCAGGTGCCCTGGTTCTTCGATTGCTCCAACAATCCGGCGACCCGGTTCACACTTCCCAGAGCTCCATCAAGGATGTGAAGAGTGGCCCTTGATTTTTGGGAGTAGATCGTTATGTAGAACCCGCCCATTTGGATTGTAAGACCTTCTTCATGTTTTAAGGATCAAGAGTCTACAATACTGAAGTCTTCGAGGTGATTCACCCATTTTATACGGATGTCACGGTGGGTCATGAACCTTTGACTCGGATGTGTACATCGATCGAATTACTCTGCGTCGATGTACTGTAGGCTGTTTACAAGCATTCTAAGGGGCAAGTATTAACATCGTGCTGCACCACGACATGATGTTTCTATGTGCTCCTATGGTGTTTCTAGTTCTTCCACGAGCAGGGAAGCATGATAATCGGAACACAGTTCATGTCAGCAAACGATGGACCACCGACAGGCTCAAGGGCGAACTTCCCCTCAAGAATCCAGCTTGACATGTCACCCAGTATGTCACCCTTCATCATATAGGATTTGCCAACCCCTTTGAAGTAAAGACAAAGTCTCGAGTGTTGACCGGAACACACACCGACGCCTGTAAGGACGCAGCCAGGACCCGTTACCGTGGTCGGTCTAAGGCACGACCCCGGCTCGGTTGGAACGCCATCAAGAAAACACCTTAAACACTCCAACATATGCCTAGCTCGGTCCCTAAGACCTCCACTGATGCTCGCCTCCAAACCTCCCCACTCCGATCGATCCCGAATGCATCGGACCGAGGAGTGGAGCGCCTTCCGCGAGCTCTTCCAAGGCTTCCGCCGCCGCTTCAGTGCGCCGGAGCGAGCCGTCCGGTCCGTCGGGCTCCGGACGTCCGCTGTTGGGTCCCGGTCGATGGAAACAACGAGTGTGGACCGACCTCAGCACCGGGGTGTTGACCTCGAGACGTGACGTGGCGTTTGGACGCCTTTTTGACGTGGCTTCACCGGAGACCTTCTCCAGGACCGCGACGATGCGGCCATGGTCACCGAGGTCCAACAGGCGGAATGGGTGGAGCATGCTGTACGGCGGTATACCCTACAGGGCTTCAACTTTGAACTACCTCCGTTTCGAAGGTGGTTGGGGTGTGTACCAAGGGGCTCTAATCACCTTGTGAGGATATGTTTGGAGCCCTAGGGCTAGATGTGAATATATACGTTTGGATATGTTTGGATGTCTGTGTTTTATCTTGTGTGTGTATGTGTCAGTGGAACGTTTTTTATTTGATTGATAACGTGACGTGTGTTTTAAATCTGGTTGTTGTGTGGAAAGCGTACCACTGCACAAGTGTTTTACTGGTGCTTGTGTATTGTTTCACAAATATGTGGTCCCTAGGTCCCTATAGGTCCAGTAAGCGGGCACCTTTGTACGAGACAGTGGTCGTCGGACCGCTGGTGGACGGTGGAGCCACTCAGCAGGTCCTCACTGAAGCCAACCAGCTGGGCCGGCGCTACGAGCCCAACTTTGTGGCTCGACTGGTTGGGTTGAGCCGACAAAAGCACATGACATATAGCATCGCCGCATAGCCATATAGTAGCTGCAAAAAGAACACAAGGAGGCATTTTGATTTTCTTGGCTGGATAGTTGGTCTCCCACATGGTTTGGCAGCTCAAGTCTTTGCATGGAGACCGGTCACTAATGGCAGTTCAAGTATCCACAGATTTCTAGTCCAAGTGTTTTGTCAAGTGCCAGCGGTCTAGGCTACCTCAAGGGATGCAGTTTTCCCTGGCTTGAACGACTAGCTTTGTGAAGACTTCCACTCAAAAAGGCAGGGTACATTCCCAACACATGTCGCGGGGGGGGCAATCTGTGGCCTTTCAAACTCTAATGGCCCGATGAACAGGACAAACACCTGTGGAACCCTGGACCCTATTGTCTGACCATTTTTGACCTATGACCACGCACAAAGAGGGCATGGACTAAAAGCTTGACCAAGCAAACTAGAAAGGAAGAGTCCGAGGAAGGGCAAAACGCTCTCGGTTTGGTTTTGTTGGATCCAGGATTTATCGCGGAAGGTTGTTGGACAGTAGCTGAACACATCCGGTCTTCGCATGAGAAAAATGGGTCTTGGAGTCCATGTTCTTCATGGGTCTTGGTGCCTCTATGTTGAGTTGCTTGTCTTTAGCGTGTTTGCTTGCAAGAAGTGTTTTGCACCACTGTTTTTTGCAAATTATGAAAGAAGTGTTTGGGCATTTCCGTGGGGAGGTCTAAAAACACTTGTACAACTAAAAACTAACAAAAACACTTCTACTAACCTGAGACGTCCCAAAACACGCAAGCTCGAGCTCCGGATGGCGCCCTTTTTCCTAACTCATCGTTGATCGCTCACAAAAAGTCAGCTCTTCTTGAACATCTTGCGCAGGTCTACACCCTCTGACACTTCCTTCTTTCGTTTCTTGTCCGTCTTCTCGTCCGTCTTTCTCTCTTTGGACTCTTTCTTATTGTTCTTTTCTTTCTTCGACTTCTCTTTGCTCTTTAGCTCAGTCTCTGGGTCAGGCTTTGCCTTTTCCGACTCAACTTCATCCTCCTTTGCCTCAGGCGGCACAATCTTTGCATCTGCTGAACGACCTTCAGCACTCTCTGGCTCAGAAGCCTCTGCCGCCTTGGCTTCAGGGCCCACTGCCTGTGCGGCCTCCTTTGCCTGCTGGACTTCATCCTCCTTTGGCTCACGTTCCACTACCTCTGCCGGCTCAGCAGGAGGGTCTGTCAATGCCAATGCCAGTCCCGTCGGCTCAGACTGTTTCGCCAGCGTCTCCGCATTTGCCTTTGCAACCAAATTTTTCTCAATGTGCAAAAGAAATTCATGAATGTCTGTTCCCTCCACTTCTTCCGAGCGTGGCTCGCATCCTGCTCCTCAGACTCCACAATTTGCTCAGTCGATGATGTAGGCCGATTGCTCTTCCCGAAGTGTCCTCCTCCTCCAGGGATGATGATAGCTGGCTGTTAAACAAATGTTGAATAATTTCTGAATGCTTTTCCTGGCCGTTGGCCATTCAGATGGAAATGCCACAAATAAATTCAACGCCACTTGAACCTATTGCACCTAAGGCCGAGGTCTGCTTGGTCCGGTTGCCATTACATGACTCGTAGCTGTGGTCGTGGTTAGTATGGTTTGTATGGTTTGGTTACAGGCACAAACACCTACAACTCACAACCACTGTCCTCTGCATTCAGCAAAGCCAGCACATGTCCGGGACCATCTGCAGGTAGTCCTGGCCCCAGAGCCTGTCCAGGGTCGGCCATCTCCGCCAAAACCTTGTCAGTGTCGACTGACGGAAGCACGGAGAGTAGGAGCTCTGCAGCTGGAGGTTGGTCCACCTGACAACACTTGGAGATACTACTGGTCACTGATTGGCCTGCTGTTTATTCTTGAGAGTATTTCTTCTCATATGCAAGCGCCAGACTGCCATATCAAAAACACTGCAAAACTACAAAAGACCAGGTCAGATCAAAAGGCAAAACACATCACATGAAGGTGGAGCAACATAAACTCAGGGACAGAGACAGCGGTGGCAAAGGCTGGACTTGACAAAACAGTCATGTCCCACCCAGGCCCACCCATCCACCTGATCGATGGACAAGTGAAAGGAAACAAGGCCCTCTTGGTCGTAGTAAAGCGCGCTGGTCCTGTCAGTCCTGCCAGCAGCCGAAGGGAACTCTAAACACAAACGCGCCAGTGAGCCCAAAATTGCTGTAAATTTAAGGCATTGTCGCGGTAGATAGAGACAATATGATGCTTACTATTAGCCTCGACAAAAAATAAACGAAATCTGAATTAAGCTGAAACAAGTAACCCGTTGTTTGATCACCTTCATTTCTCATTTGCAAATCATAGAAATTCCAAGCGCTGTTCCACATGGCCCCACAATTGAAATGCACACACCCTTCCCTCAGTCCTGCCGCCTCTTCACGAAGCTCTGCTGTGCAGTCTCAGTGTCCTGTCTTTTCTTTTTTCCATTGGCCATCAGGACGCCGCTATATTCAGAGGCCCAGCCTCCAAGTAAGTAAGTCACCGATCCTCTATCAGATTGAACACATGATTTGGCTCGGCTCAATGAATGAATCTGAACATCCTGAAAAGAAAATATAGCATTCAAAGCATGGACGTGGATTCATGGACGGAAGTTTGAATTGTTGTTTAGAATGTTGTCTGTCAACTCGTAGAGAACCCGCCCTGAGCCGACCGTGGAGCTTCGAACGGCCGGCCGCGTGGACACTCACGACGACTCACGAGAATCACCAGGGGCGCCAAATCACTCTACCCTAACCATCATTGGACCCTCCTATGGAGGGTTGTGATTAAAGTGGGTGCATTGGGGTATCCAAACCAGGATGAAATAGCCCTCTGGACATCATGGACATCACATGCTGCCAGTAGCAGTGCAATAAGCTAAGAAAGTGTTTTGTACCCTCCCTTAGCTCAGAATAACCAATTTTTCAGAGGCCCACAAGGGTCAAAAACACTTCCTCATCGCTAATTCTCTCGAAACAACAAACGCCGGCCCGCAAGCAACTTAACAAACCAATAGATCATGTTCCGTCCATCAGAAGAAAACATAGAAACATCAGGAACAGAACTCCAACCAGGGTTCATTTTGGTCAGTAATCGAGGATCATCACTCATCACTTGCAATCTAGGGTCATTTGGGCAAAATGATCTCCGCCCAAAAGAACATCCCAAAAGAACAGCACCCAAAACCGAAGGTGTTCCACGACCTGAGGTTCAATATGCCAGCGACTGGTCGGTGTTTCACATCTGCAACCCGGATCGTTTGTCCGAAGTTCCAGAGGCGACTCCGAATCGGAGGGACCGAAGGGCAGGTGGAGATAGAATAACTGGGAGCTGATCAGCTGATCTGGAGGTTCTTTGGAAGATGATGTAGGTACTGAAAGGTGAAAGCAGGGGGTTTAAGGCATGTGCTGTCTTTTTGTGTGTACCCATCAATCCTGAAAAAAAACATGTTATTCGATTGGCTTTGCGTTCTTTTGTTGTGAGGGTTTGGGTTTACACTTCCGAACGGGAATGTACACACCCGCATGGATTCTGTTGCAGTGGTTTGTGTGTTGGTTATTTGATTTCTTTTGTTCTTATAGTTTTCGATGTTCCAGTTTTGCTGGTCCATTCTACTTATTGGGAAGGTGGCAAAGATGTTGATTGATTCCACAAAGGCGTACTCCTCGAGAAATACGTTGTACGCTGACAAGCTTCAAAGCTGTTTCGATATAGTTCCGGTGTTGAAGGAATCCAGCGCCATGGGAAGTGCAGCCAGCACACAGCTGGCATCAGCTACTGCCGAAGATCTCCAGAAAATCTATCAGGATTTACCCGAAGAGACTCGAAGCAAGTTGCTGTCAGCCATGGCCACAGCGAAGACGTCCACTTGGACCGAAGCCTATGGTGTTTTGGGATGCTTTGCCAGCAAAGACCCTGCTACCACGATGAAGCTTGTCCTGGCAGATGCGGCGATCCAGGTAAAGGAAGAGAAAGGAGCTCCTTGGTTTTCCGTGATGGGCCATCCAAATACTCCTGAGTCTGACAAAGACAAGGCTTTTTGGGTGGCTGCCTTTCACAGCAAGGAGGCTTATCATCAGGAGCACACACAGCGCCCCAGCAACAAGGCCTTTGTCTCAGAGCTGATGGCCACTTGCGCTACCGGCAATCCCATGGTGGACATGATGGGCACGTACCGGGGCTCCATGTACTATACGGAGAAATCGGCAGCCCAGCTGGAAGGGACTGTGTATGCAGTGGTGCGTACTTGGACTACCAAGGATGCCAAATCAGCAGAGAAGATGCTTGATATGCTGAAGGCAGCCCGGATTTGTTCAAGAATATCAGAATACTGTATACTGTAGCAAGATGATGCAAGATGCACAGTGTCAACAAAATATGCAGATTTCCCGAGATCTCACTGTTAAATGTGTAGTTGTTCCAGCTTGGTGCTCATGATGAATGATTGTGCATGGGAAGATTGCAGATTCGGTCATTTGTCAGCGCAGATGATTAGTAGGCAAGAGGTATATGATAGCAGGAAGAGGTAGGAAGTAGCAGATTTTAGATCATCTCCAGTTTGAATGATTTGGTACAAGATTCTTTTTGATTGAAAAATCGTCCAAATTCTGCCTGCCATTTGAAGTTGTCACTTTGAAGGGGTCGCCGGGTCGCCGGGTCGAAACTGCTCATGTTTTGTTCAAGTTTATGGTGTGTCCCAGGCGGATGGATTGAAGGAGATGGAACTCCATCCGGATTTGCTGCAGATCATTCTGTTCCCCACCGTTGCAATCGGTGGGGACGTCCCCGAGGGTGCTCCCAAAGATGATCGAATGTTGAAGTCAGCTTTGCTCTTCAAGTCCTTGGAAGCCATGGAGCAGTGGAAAAAGGGGGCTATTGCGAAGGTAGAGCAGTGGAAGGCAGGGTTGTGCAGTATTGTGCAGTGCATAAGTGCATAAGTTTGAACAAATGCTAGGTTAAATAGGGCGCGCGGCGATGCGCGGCGCACATGTTTTTTCCGGGGGATGGGGGGGGGAGGCGGACCTGGAACTTCCAAGTGTGATTGAACTGTGTTTTTTCTCCATGGATGCTAGAGTGAACCATCAGTTGTGTTTCTTCCTCACATGCTAAAGGTGTGGCTCATATCTCCATTGGTTCGCATGCAGCGAGCGATGGCTCATGTTGCAGTCAACAGATGTCCTCCTACCATTTCTTGGGATGCTGCAGTTGGGAGTGTCAATGGATGTTCAGTTATTTAGTGGTCATGAAAGGTTCCGCTACAACCTGTCCTGTTGGTGGACTTTCTCCTTTATTTCAAGTTTGCATGCTTAAACAATAAGGAGCTCTGACCCTGTTGGAAGGAACTCATGGAAGATCCATCCAAAGACTACATTGTGCTGGAATTTGGTGAGACCAAGCATTTCACCAAGTGAAGATGCAACTGATGCCATCAGTAGTGCCATCACTTATTTCACCCCACACAAAATCAGCGGTGCCGGCGACGTGACGGCGATTGAGCCCCTCGCCACTGCAAAATTGTGACGAACTCAGCTTCAAATGAGGAAAGCATGAGGAGCAAAACAAGGTTCGGATCGTGGCGTGTTCCATCCCACATTCTGCTCCCATGGCATCTCCAACCCTTCCTCGGACAAGCGTTGAATCATCGTGGTTGGACGTTGCAGGCTTTTCGTTCCGCAAGTGGTTCAGGCACCATGACATCTCATCATACAGTTTTGTTTATTAATTTCAGTTTCCCTCTAGGAGCACGGACATTGGGGATTTTGTCGAATTCTGGAATTCGCCCATGCTTCGCTGTTCCTCACATGCGTTGGCACGGACTGGAGGACTTGCAGAAGAATTTCTGTTTCTACGGATTTGCAACCGTCCAATGGCTGCCCGGCAAGCAGAGGATGCCCCGTTCCACGGGTAACAGATTCAGAAAAAAAACTGTTGAAGAAAAGTACTGCACTGGCTATATCATTCTGTCACTGGAGACCGTCCATCTACAGATGTCGTTCATTGAATTCATTGGCATATGAGATGCAGCAACTTCTTGGATCCATGGGCATAGAGCGATGGCCTCCAAGCTACTAGCGATGGCCTCCAACCCAAAAGAATACTCAATGAAGAATGTACAGATGGACCCCAAAGGGTTGGAGGACTTTTTGCCGCATGCCATGTGTTCCTGGGCGATGTGGTCGCTTGCAAGGGTTGGTTCTTTCCACGCTTCCCACATGATGATATATTTGTGGGCACCACCATAAAGATGCTACTTAGCAGGTGGCATCCCAGATAATTTCTATCAACAACAGCAAGAAACACTTCAAGCACCAAATACTATTACGGAATGCCAAACATGTGTGTGTGTCATGCCATTTCATGTGTGCCTTTTCATTGTCGATAACTTGCGTTTGAACAACAAGGAGCAGGTGAAATCCGTATTTGTATGTTTTTTTCCGCCCCCCTGCCTTCCTGCCTCCGTCTCTCGAGCCGAGCCGGCCAGGGCTACTTGGCTAAGTAAGGACTACTATTGTGTCTCTCTTTTTTTCATTGAGATACAAGGACTGTAAGTGTTTAGGCATATCATATATTATATTATCATCATATAGCCATATAGCTGCACACCTTCAACATGCAAAGTACTTCTTTCCACAGCCATCAAAAATAGCCAAAGGCTGGGGCTCTTTGGGCATCAGCACTTCAGCAACGTGCCGGGCATGTCCGAATGGGCTCACAATGCCCGTGGTACCTGGGCGATCGGCCGATGACATCGTCCGGCGTGGTCGTGGTCGCGAGCTGGTGTGGGTCTCCGTGGGTTTTCGGTTTGTAAAAACACGTACTGATTGTGGTCGAAGGGAATATTAAACATCATAAAACGCGTAGATTCTGTGAAAGATGCCGGTTCTTGCTTCAGGCTGTTTTGGAATATTCATTGACGGTCTCCATGTTTCGGCGAGTGACATTGCTAGCTGGGATCCTTCTGGCAGCACTGACGGAAGGACCCCAACTCGACATGGATGCGGCAAATGAAAACACTCACTGAACCTTTGAGCCACTAACCCTTTGGCTCGCACCGGTACGCCGGATTGGAAGTGTCTATGTATCCATCTCAATGCATGTGAGATCAAATTCCCCCGGCAAAGATTCGAGCACCAGCCACATGAGTATCATTGAGTATTACTGTGTCAAGTTCCTCAGGCTTTCTGAATGATGCTGCAAAGTTCAATGCCATGCACTTTCTCGCAACTTGTCGACCTGAAAGTGTGTCCCTCTCGAATCTTGAACTGTTCGGAACTGCAAACAATGTCGTTGATTCTAAGCATTGCAATGTCACTGTACAAATTGTGTATGTAGCTGCTGTGTTTTCTTTCGGCACGTTTTACATGAGAAGGCATGAGGCAACCATGTTCAGAGTGATTTGTATCTAAGAAGGTGTTTAAAAGTAATTGCTTGTGTTTAAAAGCACAACCCAAAACAAGACATTGCTCCTGTGGAAATCCAGCTGTGACGAAAGGAAGTGCCATCCATTCAACTCATGGGTTTTTTTCCTGCAGCTACAGCCAAACATGGCATTGACACCCTGGACACACTTTTGGAAGTCTATGCATAAGCTCATGTCCGAGGGCTGGCCAGAGAAAACCTGATCGCCGCCTTGTTTTAGTTGCAATCCATGCGGTGAAGGTGTGGTGGGTTCTTCCTTCACCTCTTGACATCCCCATCCCCTCCTCCATTCCTCGTCCCCTACGGATTCCTTCTCCGCCACGAACTGGAGGAGAGCTCCGGTTGGTCGGTGACCATGGTCGAGTTGGCCAAGTCGCTCAGCAATGCCTTCATGGCGAACTCCGATTACAGGCGCCAACACCTTCGAAAGAGAAGGTGTCAGACCTGCGCAAACAGAAAAGAATGGTTCCTTTTGAGATAGACCCAGCCTGCCCCTAAGAACGCCTGGGAACGGCCAAAAGATTGAAAACACCATTGAAACCAATTTCTGTATCCACGGCTTGTGTTCATAACGACTCAACTTCATGGGAACCCTCCACATCTTGCATTGTGGTTGGGAGCCCGAACCTCAGTGAACGGTTCTTGGTTTAAAGCAGGAATTCCCTCCAGCCCCAGTGTGCTTTTGGTAAAACCCACAAAGAAAGAAGGGCAAGGCCCCGGACTCCGCAGCAGCTGTGAGGGTATGGTGCATGAGATGCGCCGGATAGCTTGGTTTCCTTATTTTTGCGTGTTGATCACCAAAACGGTAGGTGGCCTACTAGTCAGACGACCGCACCAAGTGGCTTGTTGATCTCAGAACAGTTTGGGGGGCCAGGTGCTCGGAGATTCCACCATTTTCACCTATATCTTTCACGGACGTATCACATTCGATCGAACCTTGGGCGTCCGATGATGCGTCGCGACTCGTCACAGGTGAACTCTGGGATGATGTGGGAGATTCCTTTGTGGGAGAATGATGGAGAATGGGGTTGTCAGAGTCGTCAGACGTCACCCTCACACGAATCTTCGCTGGTCCAAACAGTTTCGCGAGAGATCGCCTTGGTGTGAAAACCAGCTCCGATTCTGGCGTTCGCACGCCAATGCCTCCAGGGTTTCCCGAGATGCAGCGTTGCCGGCGCTGAGCGAGTTCTCCGGGGTTCCGCGTCGGCCGCCCGAGCACACCAGGCCGGGTACAGCTGAGACGGCCGCTGAGTCTATAAGAGGTTGAAGAATTCTGAGCTAAGTTCTTAGGTGTTTTTCTTTGGCTATTCTAGCCGGCATGGAATGGGGGAGATCTTGTGGAATTGGACAATAACATTATATATATATATATATTATAGTCTAAATGGCCTTGCTTGGCCAGCTAATTAACATCGTTTCTTGGATGCCGGTTGCGTGGTGGCTGGACCAAACGGTGGTAGAGATTTAGGCAAGAGACAAGAGATGGTAAGATTTCAGACTTGCCACGCCGATATGAACTACGTGTATCTGGGTCAAATCCGTAGTGGTAAACAATGTACTCAACAGGTCACAAAACAAGGGGGTAGTTAGTGGGGTAGTTCTATGTCCATATTTCATCTTACCGGCCCCTTGGAGACCTGCGGTTCTGTCGGTGATGTGCTGTCGTCCATGCTTGGATTCAACATGAGCTGCTTTGGGGCTTTTAGTGCTGTAAGACAGAAGTCAAGATTAGCAGTTCAATTGATAGAGGACATCAAGCAATTTGAAGATCTACCAAAGGCTGAGTACAGCTTTGTAAATGGCTCATTTCATGAATGTGCTTGTAGAAATCACACACACAGATTGACACATATCATGCGGATTGCATGAGCCATGCTTCCAAAGCTCCACCTGGCCGGTAGATTGCAGGCTTCATCGCTTTGAGGTCGAGAACACTTCTACGCCAAGGGATGAAGGATGTGGCTTTTGGGGTTGCTTCCAGACCCACTGGATGCTTCACTCAAAAGATGTTCACACTTGCGCTCCTGATGCTGATTGGAAGTCAAGGAGTCCCCTTTGAGATAGACATGGCTTGCACCAGCTTTTCATGCCCTGTTGGTTACGAACATCGTTGGGATGCAGGAACGGTGTTATGTGATGGCGCTTGCAATACAACAGACTTGCAGACCTGCTGTGTCTTGAAGGGCTTTTCCTCCTCCCGCTGGCGAGTGCAGGCTTCTTCCTCGGTGATCAGCACTTGGGACCTATCCTTCGTGCACTTCTTCTTCGCTGAGAACTGCACCGCGGACTCCCAGATCGACATCGACACAGGTCGAAATGGCAATGGTGCCGCCTTCTCACACCAGGCGGGGCATGGAGCTCTTGCCGCCCGAGTCTTTCACCCGTCTTCGGGGTTGGGCATCACATGGTCTTCGGGGTCTCCGTGTCAAGCTGCGGAGTGCTTTGTTGGCTATTCTTGGGAGGCAGATACTAACAGATTCCCTTTAGGCAGTTGTAGGTCCTCCAAGAGCAATGGCTGCGCATCTTTGGGGGTTTTACAATCAGCGACGCTCCGCGTGGGATGTGTTCACGTCCAGCAAAGCACGAACGTTGGACACTTTGCAACGACACTCCGCTTGCAACTGATGGACCACGATGGAAGCGATTCCAATGTAAGCTCCGGTCTTTGGCGGACAGCTGTGGAAATGAGGTCTTTGACAGGAGGCCTGGCAGTTCTACAACTCAATTCCTGAGGCATGTGCAGGAAACTATGACATGCATACTGTAGACTGCAGCATGCACGACAGGATGCAGAAAAAGAACACTCGGAACATGTCGGAACCTGCTTCTGAGATTGTTTGTTTGTTGTTTAGTGCTTCTCGTCGATGGATCTATTGAACTGTGGGCGTCACGATCGCCCCATCCGCAAGGAATCAAAGCACGGAAGGCACCCAGAGACAGCACAGGGAAACCGAAACACACTGTGAAACAGGTGATGGTGCCCTTTATTCATTCCACAAAGATCCACACCGCACTTTTCCGTTGGAGGTATCCAGTACAACCCATGGGATTGAGATGGATTGAGTTGTGTTTTTCTCAATGGGGCGCGCAGAAAAACACCCTCAGTCAGTAGGTGGTTGACCCACAAAGCTATCCTCATATGCCACCCTCAGGTGGGAAATGAACCGCTAGGGTTTAAGGAGTCTCAACAGATAAGACATGCATCCCTGAATTGGGGGACGCGACAGCTGTTCTTTTCACCGGGACGGTGCCTCGATCATAAATCCAGGCAGCCAAGTGCAAATCACCCATGGTGATGGTTTGATGATTGCTTTCTGATTCCAGCATAGATGGAAAAGTGAATGTTTTGTGTTGTTTGCTTCTTCAAAGTTACCTTTGTGGAGTCCGAAATTTACTAAGTGACCTTTTACAGGCCCAGGTGACCTCAAACCAGGATATATATTATATAAAGATCACTTTGAAGAACCAGGTGGAACCTGTTCGTATCTATGTGGAGGCCTTTATATTTGTATGTAAGTTATGTTGGCATTTATTCCAAAGTTCCACTCTAAATGTTTGTTGTTCCCCTTGCCAACTTGCCTTCTTTGACTCCGGAGTCGCTCAAGAACAGTTGCCTGGAATAGAAAGCTCCATGAAGACATTCTGACTTGCTTCAAGAGAAAAACATGTGCTTTCAAAACTAAATTGTTACAACACTACAAGCATTTGCAAGCTATGTTTACCGTCTATTTTTAATGACCTTGGATATAGATCCGCCCGGTCAGTGTCTAAGATAAACCTCAGAAAACCGTGAAGCCGACGCATACGCAGACGAAGACGAATCGAAAAGGCGCCCACAAGTCCGAGTACTGAAGGCAGTAGCCATCTCGTAGCTTGGCGAATTGAAAGGTGAGCGACCAGGACAACAGCGATAGCTCTCTTACACCTGTCAGCATCCGATTTCTCCGTGTGAGCCTGAAGCACGGTCCCAGAGTCTCCGAACCCGTTTGAACCCCTCGGGTTCCAAGTACCTTCTGAGAAAGTACTGTTTGAGGTGTACTAGTAGCGTCCTCGCTGCTAGTAGCTGCTAGTAGCGATGCCCGGGTTATAGTAGCGATGCCAGTTGGGTCATTGAAGGGTCCAAGTAGTCCAAGTAGCACCTGATAGAGGTAGTACGGCCCGTGAACCGGACTGTTGAGCAAATCAGCTTAATTATATATCTAATTATATATATAAATATATATATAAGGTCTTCCATGGCATTGAAATTCATTGTTTAAGGTCTTCCTGAAGAGAACAAGGTTTTTTGGCAAGAAGGGGTAATATGGGTTCTCCCCACGTGGTTTAGGGTTGGTTCATGTGGTTCGCAGTGAATCAGACACTGTATGTGGAATATATTTCTTTGGACCACTGATCTGAACTGTGAGTCCAGGCTGCGTCCCCCCCGCAGTCTTTGGCTATGCGGAGCCTGGCTGAGGTATCATACTGCGTTGATTCGTGAGCCGCTGACATTTTGGTGCAGAGCTTAGACTTGGAATGACTTGACTGTCCAGGAGCTGTTCACCACAGTATGCAGCGCTCACGCGCTTGAGCGCTTGGGCATGTATTGGAGACGCAAGGGAACATTGTATAAGTCCGTTTCTGGAGAAACTATATACCCAAATAGCATTGCTGCTCCCACTTAAAGAACAATTCTCATGAAGCAATGAACAATGTCCTTTTCCTGACTAAAAGCCATGGTTAACAATAGCCACACACCAGTGCACTGATACCATGTGCTACCCACATGTTTCATCTATATATTTATATTTTTACATCACATCACTGCACGAGGCCCAGACACCGACGACCACACCCGTGACAGGGTGCTCGCCTCACCACGCGTGACCGGCGATGACCGGCGTGACCCTCAGGCAGCACATGCTGACGCATCTCTTCGATGTGCAAAGCACCCTGCACATCTTGGACGTCACGGCTAAGACAGCCCAGGAGGGATGGAAATTGGCAAGACCAAAGTATGGGTGCCGAGTTGGTGTTGCCTGCTTTGTTTTGCTCCTGTTGCTGCTGGTGTGTTTGTCATGTTTCTTATCACTTGCCTTTTCTTCTTCTTGATGTCATTGTGAGTTAGTTATGTATCTTGTGCTACTGGTCTTGGAGTAAGTGAGGCCGCTGAAACAAGGATGATCATGATGATCCATATTATATGATGATTTTTTTATTGCAATTTTCTCAAGGTGCCTTGATCAGAGCAGTGACATCAGGGTGAGCTCAAGAAGTTCTGCTCATGTGCATTCAAACAGGTGAATCGGCTCTCAACTTCTTTGGGCTCAGTAGTGGATCCTCGTGTTTCTCCCAGCAAACATCACAGAGACTTGTGGATCCTCGTCCGGATCCTCATCCCAACCGTTCGTTGTGTTTTTGGCACGAGGACGTGACTCGCTTGCACAGCCACTGCCGATTTATTGCCGCTCAGCTCAGCAGTTCAGCCGTCAGTCAATGGGTAAGTCTGCCAACCAGTCGGTTTCTTTCGACATCACTAGGCGTAGCCAGATTGGCTGATCTTCTTTTCCTTGGGTGAGGAAACACATGACAGGTTCGGCAGTTCGGAAGCAAAGACAAGGGCAGTCAACCTATTTGAGGAAAAGCCTTGTGAAGTTGGTGGTCAATAGATGTTATTGACAGTAACGACGGTCATCCAGCCTATTCATGACGATAAGACAAAGCGAGTTAGAGCGATGTCTTTGACAATATTTGCATGAGCTACAAGACTAACTATATACTGTATAACTGCTATATTTTACGTGCTTTATGTTTTAACAAGCCTTCATTAGTTGGGAGTCTAGAATGTTGCTATCACTCATGTCACACAACTTCTTTGCTGTACCATGGAAACAGCAAGCGATGTGGTCACAGTAAGCTCGGCATCACGACTTCACAGTGTCACAGCACGGCTCCATTTTGGGGTCATGGTTCTTATAGGTTCTTAGGGGTCATGGTTTGTAAATCAACCAGACATTGCTTAAAACCAAAGTTGCTTATGTATCTACCTGTCCCACTCCCACTGTTGAAAGTGGCGGTCCAGGGTGGCTCGTGGTGCGGCACCGACGAACGGCTGCTGCAGCTGAATGCGTTCCTCGCTTTGCCCAGAGGAGAGGCCTCAGAAGCATAAGGCATAAGGTCTCAATCATGGTTTACGATGATTTAACCTCTCCGGACCCAAAGGTGGCTTGTCAATCCAAAGGCTGTGGCTTCAGGTTTCAATCCAAAGCCAGGGTTTTTGGGCGCTTCGATGCTTTGCGAAGACTGATCCACCTGCGAGGTCCAAGAGACACTTCTTGGGATCCACAGCTTGTAATCCATGTTTGGTTGCTCAAAGACCCTGGTGTGCATGATGACCCTGATCTTCCCCGGTTGATCACAGACGACACGTCAGTTCTTTGGACGGCAGTTCTTTGTCAGAAAGATTAGGTCGGGTTGGCTGACGAGCTTTTGAAGCATAAAGTACTAAGGCTGTTCACTGATACTTTGCTGAATTGCCACACTGGTGATCACAAGGCCATGGGCGGAGATACCGCGGGCTTTTGGCCATCGTTGCGGTATGTGAAAGCGGCGTGGAACACGTCCTGAAGAAATCTCTTAGGTCCATCTATGCAAACAGAGTAGGCCCAGGGTCCCAGACCCAAATGTTCATGATCTTCAGAACGGATTCCATTTGTTTGTACCTGTATTGCCCTGTTCCAACTGCGTTTGGTTGTGTTTCTGTCTTCACGTTTGTCACAGCGGCTCATGTTCGGGTCAGCTGACCACGTTCGCTCCAGAACCCTTTGCCGAATGAATTCGGGGGGTTTTGCGCCTTCGTTTTCTTTGTGCGCGGGCTCGATGGCTCCAGGCACGACATCATTTCTTGCGATCCGCAACTCGGATGGACGATCTCCAACGGAAAATGACACGGAAAATGAAAGGAGATGGATAGAGGCTTGGCACATGGAACGGAAGAACTTGAACATCGAGGCGTTGAAAGCGTGAACTGAACAGGTTCTTGGACTATCTTGGACTATGTGCAAACGAGGGGTTTTAGCCATGCAAAATTGGACAAAGTTTAGCGATCGATGGCCTCTAACCTAATAGCGATGGCCTCCAATCCATTGCAAAGCCATGCAAAGCCCAAATTTATTATCGTTCCAGGGACGCTTGACACAGCCTTTAGTCGTTGGAGGACTCGTTGGAGGGAGCGACTACTCAAAGAAGTGCATGCTGGAGGTCCCTCCAGGTCCTTATCGCTTGGTGTGCTCAGGACAAGTGGACCACCGGACCACCCTAAAAAGCCTTAAACAAGTTTTGGGGTGATGGGGGCCACCGCTGTCATAAAGAAAACAGGTGGAAGCTTCGGGACACCCCAGTCATGAAGATCACAGGTGGAAAGTGCTTGGGGCCACCGCAGTCATACAGAAAACAGGTGGAAAGTGCTTGGGGACACCCCAGTCAGAAAGAACACAGGTGGACAGTGATTGTCGACACCCCAGTCATCAACACTCCAGTGATAAAGAAAACAGATGGAATGTGATTGGGGACATCCCAATCATAAAGAAAACAGGTGGAAAGTGATTGGGGACACCCCAGTCATAAAGAAAACAGGTGGAAAGTGATTGGGGTCACCCTAGCCATAAAGAAAACAGGTGGAAGGTGATTGGGGACACCTCAGTCATAAAGAAGCAGGTGAAAAGTCATTGGGAACACCGCTGTCATAAAGAAAACAGGTGGAAAGTGATTGGGGACACCCCAGTCATCAAGAAAACAGGCGGAAGGTGATTGTTGACACCCAGTGATAAAGAAAAGGGGTGGAACGTGATTGGGGACACCCAGCCATAAAGAAAAGAGGTGGAAAGTGATTGGGGACACCGCAGTCATAAAGAAAACAGGTGGAAATTGATTGGGGACACCCCAGTCATCAAGAAATCAGGTGGAAAGTGATTGGGGACACCCCAGTCATCAAAAAAACATATTAGGTGGAAGGTGATTGGGGACACCCCAGCCAGTCATAAAGAAAACAGGAAGGAAGGTGGACAGTGATTGGGAACACCCCAGTCATAAAGAAGACAGGTGGAAAGTGATTGGGGACACTCCAGTCATAAAGAAGACAGGTGGAAAGTGATTGGGGACACTCCAGTCAGCAAGAACACAGGTGAAAAGTGCTTGGGGACACCCCAGTCATGAAGATCACGGGTGGAAAGTGATTGGGGACACCCCAGTCATAAAGAACACAGGTGGACATTGATTGGGAACACTCCAGTCATCAACACCCCAGTGGTAAAGAACACAGATGGAAAAGTGATTGGGGACACCCCAGTCACCAAGAAAACAGGTGGAAAGTGATATGGGACACCGGGGACACCGCAGTCATAAAGAAAACAGGTGGAAAGTGATTCGGGGCACCCCAGTCATAAAGAACACAGGTGGAAAGTGATTGGGCACACCCCAGTCATAAAGAACACAGGTGGCAAGTGATTGGGGACACCCCAGTGATAAAGAAGTCAGTCAGGTGGAAAGTGATTGGGGACACCTCAGTCATTAAGAAGACAGGTGGGAAGTGATTGGAGACACCTCAGTCATAAAGAAAGGAACCAGGTGGAAAGTGATTGGGGACAGGTGGAAACTGATTGGGGATACCTCAGTCATAAAGAAGCAGCCAGGTGGAAAGTGATTGGGGACACCCCAGCCATCTACACCCAGTGATAAAGAACACAGGTGGGAAGTGATTGGGGACACCCCAGGCATAGAGAACACAGATGGAATGTGATTGGGGACACCCAATCATCAAGAAAACAGATGGAAAGTGATTGGGGACACCTCAGTCATTAAGAAGACAGGTGGAAAGTGATTGGAGACACCTCAGCCATAAAGAAAATAGGTGGAAAGTGCCAGGGGACACCCCAGTCATGAAGAAGACATGTGGAAAGTGATTGGGGAAAACCTTGCCATAAAAGAAGACAGGTGGAAAGTGATTGGGGAAACCCCAGTCATAAAGAAAACAGGTGGAAAGTGATTGTGGAGACTCCAGTCATAAAGAACATGTGTGGAAAGTGCCTGGGGGCACGCCAGTCATCAAGAAAACAAATAGAAAGTCATTGGGGACATCCCAGTCAGTCATAAAGAAAACAGGTGGGCAGTGATTGGGGACACCCCAGTCATGAAGAAGACAGGTGGAAAATGATGTTGGACACCCCAGTCAGGAAACAAGACAGCTGGGAAGTGATGTTGGACACCGCAGTCATAAAGAGAATAGGTGGAAGGTGATTGGGGACACCGCAGTCACAAAGAAGATAGGTAAAGTGATTGGGGACACCCCTGTCATAAAGAAGACAGGTGGAAAGCGATTGGGGACACCACAGTGACAAAGAAAGCAGGTGGAAAGTGATTGGGCACACCCTAGTCATAAAGAAAGCAGGTGGAACGTGATTGGGGGCACATGAAGAAAACAGGTTGAAAGTGATTGGGGACACCTCAGCCATGAAGATAACAGGTGCAAGGTGATTGGGGACACCCCAGTCACAAAGAAGACAGGTAAAAAGACAGCTGGGAAGTGATGTTGGACACCCCAGTCATGAAGAAGACAGCTGGGAAGGTGATTGGGGACACCCCAGTCATGAAGAAGACAGCTGGGAAGGTGAGAAAACAGGTGTCAGGTGATTGGGGGCACCGCAGTCATAAAGAAAACAGGTGGAAAGTGGGTGGAAGGTGATTGGCAGTCATAAAGAAAGCAGGTGGAAAGCCCCAGTCATAGAGAACACAGGTGGAAAAAGTGATTGGGGACACCCCAGTCACAAAGCAAACAGGTGGAAAGTGATTGGGGACACCCCAGTCATATAGAAGACAGGTGGATAGTGATTGGGGGCACCCAAGTCATAAAGAAAGCAGTCAGGTGGATAGTGATAGGTGGAAAGTGATTGGGGACACCCCAGTCATAAAGAAACCAGGTGGAAAGTGATTGGGAACACCCCAGTCATAAAGAACACAGGTGGAAAGTGAGGGACACCCCACTCATAAGGAAAACAGGTGGAAAGTTCAGTTCACTTTTTTTCCAGTGAAATGGCTAGGGGGTCAGGTTTTGTTGGGTGGAATTCGTGCTGCTCCATCCCACTCCGGTTCAGTTCATACCTATACGGATTTGTCCATGTCTCGGGCACGATTGGTTTTCAACCTTGCGTCCGCATCCCGCACTCTGTCAGGTCAGGATGTCCGACAGAAATCACTCATGCGACTCATGCTGAGACATTAGGCTGATACAGCGAAGATAGATAGATACCCCACTGGTAGGCTGGTGCATGTGATGCGTGACCCACCAGATTTTCATGTGCTACCGCCGTACCACGTGGGTGTATTGACGTGGACGTTGGGGCATCCATCAGCATCCAGCCAAGGCGCAGGAGTACTATGAGCTCTTTTTGCAACTCATGGGGAATGACGCTGAGTTGCGCTCTGCAGCCGCTTGGGATTCCGGAAGAAAACCCATGTGCTTCTCCAAGGCTTGTGATTTGTTTTCCGAGACGAGTCACTAACAAGTCTGAAGACTTTGTAGTGGACAGAGGGATCGTGGAGTGATGATGTTGTAGGTGTCACCTGAGGTAAACCTCCTTGGATGTAGCATTCAGGTGAGTTGGTGGAGGATGCCATCAATGCCAACGTTTCAATCCTCCAAGTGTTGGTTTCGGCGCACCGAATCTTTTGGTTCACGCGAGTCTCCGTGCACGCGTTTGAGGATTTCTTCATGTGTGGCGAACCGGTGCTCTTTTGTCGCCTCTTGAGCTACTTCGGGCAGCCCGTGATTGGTTACATTTCCACGCCCATCTCGGTCTATGTCGCATGGCGCATCGTGACGCCAGATCTTCGGCCGTTCGGTGTCGGTTCGCATGTCGAAACTCGACGCATGTCGAGTCGATTCGGTCAGAAGTGGATTCGACTTGGAGAACACACACAGGTCATCGATGTTGGGTAATGTTAGAAAGTTGTTTTGTTCGGGTTCCCCGTAGAAAGAATAGAACACACAGTGACAGTACATTCCACGATGTTCTGCAGAGTCTTTTTGTGGACCACCGGCGTCATTATGTTTTTGTGTGTGTTGGAAACGTGAGCTGTTTTGTCACATTTGATGTGTTCCGACCCAAGGTCGGAAAGCATGATCGAGCCGAGTGGTACCAGCAGTTCTATGATGCGCAACTGCATATAGGGTTGGAGGATAGAACATAGGGAGAACGTGGGCAGATAGCCGACTCACATGCAGCATTGTCAAATTTGTTGAATCTATACAGTTGCTATTAGCTGATCTTTGAGAACCTTTGGAGGTTCCATTGGCGTGTCACCGGAGCTTGGGCATAAAAATATCACATGCTCGGAAAAAGGCGACGTTTAACTTCTACAGCTCATGTATTTGTGTATTGCCAAGTACTGTAGGATGTATATACTATATTGGCATGGTGCAGACATCAGGTGCCCGTGATAACTTGGTAAGTTCTGCCAAATCGCCCTGATACACTAAGAGATTTACCGATTTACCCATTTTCCCGGTTAAGGGTTTGGTAGCCACACCGGGCCACACTTTGCCAAAGGTTTCGGTGGGTTTATGTCCACTTACCTTTGGCTTGAGTGCAACTGGTTGAGGAACCTGGATGGATTGGTGAGTCGATAGTCACTGGTGCCTTTTTCCAGGAAACCGATCCAGGTACACAGTAGATATCGGCCAGACAAGTGTATATATTCCCCGTATTATGGCTGTGTGATGCTATGTGTTTCAATACTAGTTTGCATTTTACAACCATTCCCAAGGTGGATTCCTGGACCCCATGTCATTGAACATCCGCAGGAACTCCTGACATGTTGCTTGACAGATGTCACATAACATATAGAGGCGAGGAAACTTCGGAACACCTAATCTTTCTCCAGATTGGAACTCCTAGGAGATGACTCTAGATGATCGCCACATCTTCGCCACCACCACGCCCATCTTTGCGGAGTGGGTGGCGTGCGCCACGTGGGAACACGGTTGGATCGGAAGAAACTGTGGACGTGGCGCACAACACCGAGGCCTTTTTCAATCGGGGTGGAACGGTGTTACACTTCTGGGGCTCAAATCTTGGAAGCAAAATGAAGCAAATCAGCAAATACCACATCAAATAACCATTATAAAGACATATAAAGACCTCCCAGAAATTGCTAGTTGACCGGATGGGTGTGTTGTTCGATGCACTTGCTGACACACGCAGGGAGTAACTAAGTTCTTTAAGCCCTGATAGAAGCAGACTCCACGACTGCCAGAAATGTCTTGGAGGAGTTCGACAGAGACATTGGTTCAGCTTGAGATTTCATGTCAGGTACGCCACTGGAATCGACCTGCCGGTCATCCGGCCCATTTGCAGCTACACTGAGGCGTAGTGTTTGACGAAGGGTGACGTGAAACTGGCAATGGAAAACAGGAATCACAAAAACTGACCACTTCAGAAAGATCTCCCATATGACGCTTCTTTGAGTGAGATGTTCGCATGTTCTTTTTGTTCAGAGGTTGCACGATTGCACACACACCAACTGAGCTGGAAAGGAGCGGCGTTTTGTGCATCAATCCCAAGGTGAGCTACTGGCCACGCCGCCAACGCGAGTTGCTGCTCTTGCGCAGCGTGAGCCTGTTTTGGGATACGGAGCGACGTGGGCACGGCCGGGTGGGAGGCTGGCTGTGGAAAGGAAAGCACCTCATTTGGTGGAGACCTGACTGACAATGTAGACTTTCGATTCATAAGACCTCTCAAAGGAAGATGTTTTACAATCGAAAGGGAAGAACCTACAATTGTCGTGTTTAAGAATCGGGGAGCTTCACCGACCAATGTGGACCTACCTATGAGGCCTTTCTGCCGGAATTCGCCTTCACAGCAATCTTGAAGGGGACCTTGAAACAGTCCGCTCTCCACCGCCAAAAGAAACCTGCATACATGTTTCGTGGGCCACTTGGATGGCCGAGATGGTGTATGGACCAGTCGCAAGTCGCAGCCAGATCATCGCACTTTTGGATGCCCCGTCGTGCAACACTTACTCAGCATCGTTGAGAGTGTGTGTAAAAGACCGTTACTCACTGCAGGAGTGTGTCCTGAACTACTTTGCCAAGCAGTTCGCAGGTGGGGTTTCGATTAGCCATGATTAGCCAGTTGTAGCCTTCAAAGCTGGCCTCAGGTTTGCTTTTCCAAATTATTATCACTTATATAAACCTTATACAATATACAAGGGCGTTTCATCCACGAGTGTGATTTGAGTGTTTCTTGGAAAACGATGATGGACGTCCAAAAGAACAATAATACCCCTATTACAAGATGTTACAAGAACGATGTTATTGAATGTTTGGAGTTCATTTTGTGCGCATGTGTGTGTGTGTGTGTGTCCACCCCTGGACAAAGGGTTTGCCACCGCCACTCTTTTCAACGTTTTTCCACCACTTTCCACGGGCAGGGGGGCAGTGATCCCTTCAGCAGTCACTGCCTAACAAAGACGCTGCTGATCGGATGTGATATTCGGAGAGGACGCTCTCCGAACGTACCTGCCGAGTTTTCCACACGCTGTCACCCTACTCTTCCACTTTTTGATTCATGGTTCTTCATGCTTCCACCCCCAAACAGGTTTTCCCACCGCAGACCTGCAGCCGCTTTGCCGCTGTGCGCTTTCCGCAGTCACGTATGAAAAACCTTTTTGTTGAAACATCTACAATTGCGCTGACTTTCCACCTTACCGTTGAGCCATTCCTTTCCTCGGGAAATTGAGTCACTGAATACAAGTGTCAGAGTGTGTTTCGCTCAGCCGTCCCACTCGGGTGCTGAGTGTGATCCCCGTCACAGGGGCGCGATTTTTTACATCGGAAAGCAACCAACCCAACATGCCACCTCTCACCGGATTTCCACTGGAAGTCATTGACACACCCTTTGAACCAACAGATGCATTGGCCGCCGGGCCTAAACACGGCAGCTTTCTCTTCCACCAGCTTTCGGATCAGTCATGCATGTTGTTTTCCACATGTTGCATTTTTAGATCGATGCCGTGACCTTTTCATCAGCAGAACTCAAGCTTGTACACTGGAGTTCTCCACTCTAATTCGAGATGCATGACCACAGACTCCACACCATTCGAAAATACACCTTTCCACCCTCCAGCGCTGAAGCTGCTGCTGCCGAGTTAGTGAGGCTTTATGTCCAAAAAGGACACAACCACCACGCCTGCCACCGTTTTTTGAAAAAGCGCCGAAGACGGCGACCTGTGTGTGTCCACCCCTGGACAAAGGGTTTGCCACCGCCACTCTTTTCAACGTTTTTCCACCACTTTCCACGGGCAGGGGGGCAGTGATCCCTTCAGCAGTCACTGCCTAACAAAGACGCTGCTGATCGGATGTGATATTCGGAGAGGACGCTCTCCGAACGTACCTGCCGAGTTTTCCACACGCTGTCACCCTACTCTTCCACTTTTTGATTCATGGTTCTTCATGCTTCCACCCCCAAACAGGTTTTCCCACCGCAGACCTGCAGCCGCTTTGCCGCTGTGCGCTTTCCGCAGTCACGTATGAAAAACCTTTTTGTTGAAACATCTACAATTGCGCTGACTTTCCACCTTACCGTTGAGCCATTCCTTTCCTCGGGAAATTGAGTCACTGAATACAAGTGTCAGAGTGTGTGCGCGCCTGCACAGGAGATAATGTGAGAATGTTGCGGTTTGCTTTTGTGCTTGTGTTCTTTGTCTTTGTATTTGCTTGTTTGTTTTGTTTGGTGTTGGGCCCGCTTGCGTATGGTTTGTTCTTGCAAGTGTCACAGGCGGTCAGGGATTGTGATTGCTTGTCAATTGCTTGTGTTTCGAGGGCTGCCCTTGGCTTATGGGCTGGCCCCAGCTCAACGAGGTACCAGTGAAAAAGGTATGCTACGTTCCTTTGCCTGGTTGGGTTGGTGTGGAAAAGGGTTGTTTTCTATATTGTGGAGCATGCACGCAGCAGTTGTGCATACAAGCAGTTTGATATGAACCATGCGGACAAAAAGTCAGCGACATAAAGTGATACCCCAATGGTAGACCAAAGAGTGCAGAAGAGGAGCTCCTTAGACGGTGCCCAAAGGGAAGTCTGCAAAGGTGCAGGCAGACTTAACGTCTTCTAGTGACAGAGATCAGGTCAGCAATGTTGCCCTTGCTGAGGGAACTGCCTGTAAAAAGTGTTGTTGTCCTTTCTGAGTTCAATTAGAAGCGTTACTGGAAAGATCTCTTAAAGCTCTTCATACTTCCGAAAATATTTCCAACATATTGATTGCACTGGATGCTCAGATCATGAAGGGTTACGAATAATTAGAGGTTCCTGTGTTTTGTTGTTTGTGTTTTTGTGTTTCGTTTGTTTTGTTCAGTGACACGGTGCTGGGGTTCATTGTTGGTGGCAAGAGCCTGCAAAACGATAGCTACGGTGCTCATTCTGCCAAACACTCGCTGTAAACCCATACGGGACATCCCTGGTGAACTCTATGAAATGTCGATCACTCTCCTCTATGATATGCCTTTTGGGTAGCCATTTTATAGAGAGCTAGGGGTTCTGGATGCTGTCAAAGTTGTCCAGAGGGCATTTGATAGAGACAATGGCGCCAGAGATTGGTGGCAGCAGCTTTGCACATCTTTGCACACTAGAAGTATTGTCAGTCAGGGCACTTTATAGACGAGAAGGCTGGAATGCTGGATAGGCATTTTACAATAGCAGCGGCTCTTTTTGCTATGACATGTCAGGTGTCTTACTGCTTGAGAAGCGAACTCGTGCTGTCAGTTTTTTGCAGGTTGTGTCAACCATGCTTGGAGGTTGATCCAGGCATTTTATACACATGTCCATCCTGGCATTTGATAGAGTTTTTTCTTTGGGTAGGCATGTTATAGACACCACATCTCTATGAAATGCCGGGATAGTGGCTCTACCCAACATTCACCGGGATTGCGGAACGTCCTAAAATTGAAAAAGGACACCTCGAACAAAATATAGAAAACACAAACAACACGTATGTAGTGTCAGCTATATAGAGAAGTCATTTGATCTCTTTCCCTTTGCTTCGTGGACAAAACAGCCGTGCTCATCACCTCTTGCACCTCTCCCCCGAAGGTGACGGGGAACCGCTCCGCTTCTTGGAGTCCACCGGGCTTTCGGATGAGGTCGGCCGACGGCGACCGGGTCGCTTCACAAACGGGGCTCACCTCAGTGGGAGCTCAGAGCAGTGGCAGTGTAAGAAGACCGAGTCTACTTGGCATGTTCAATTGTTGTTTTTTCTCCGGGGAATGTCGATCGGACAGGGGATCCTTTGGGCGCTTTTGGGTAAGAGTGCAGGCCTTGTTTGCTGAGCAAGTTTGACAGAATTACATTTCGAAGAATATTCAATATTGGCATGAATGGATTATGGATGATTATGGCGTATGATGGTGTATGATATGCCATGTGCGCCTTAGATGTACGATATGGTTGAACTCTTGAGCCATTCCGTGCTTCAGCCGTGCCGAGTTTGGCACCGACCCTCCCAGCCCCGGGAACACCCGCACCGGAGTCCAGCCCAATTCACCGCAAGGAGAGACGAGGCTATGGGAGTTTCGCTGAATTCAAGGCAGTGCCGAGCTGAGTGCAGCGTTGTTTTGGTTTCCTGGGATCCATATTGATATGGGTTGCCACAGGGTTCAGTGATGAGATCAGTGGTTGTTTCCTGTTATAACAAATACGATTGAGGTTTGGGAGGCTACAGATCTTTGACACAGGGACGTTTCTCACAAAGTCAGACAGTCAGATCATATGTATTACTGTAGTTAGATATACATGCATGTATATGCGACGAACGCAGAATTATCATAGGACATGTTGCATGTGGCTCATATATCACGAAAGCTAGCGAAGCTAGCTGGAGTTACTCTTGCGATAGCAAGGTTTCTTTCGATCGGGTGCAAATACTAACCCCTCCCCCCCCTCCTTGTCTTCCTCCCACCTTCCCTCCCTTCCTCCCTCCTCCCTCTTCGCAAGTTCGACTCCGTCCTGTCGTCGCTCTTTGGCATGCGGTTAGCGTTGCGTATCTTGCGGCCGCACTCGCTCACTCTCACTCTCACTCTCACTGTCTCTCTCATCTCTCTCTCATCTCTCCCTCATCTCTCGCTCTGCAGGTGGATCTTTGCGATGCCACCGCGACGTCTCCTTGACCTCCTCCAAAAAGAGCGCCGTGTTTTTTCCTTCCTCGCTGCCCTCCACTTTCCCATTCTGGAGCGCTAGCTTTCGCCCCCCCCCCCTTGGCCTCAAGTATATATATATATAACATACACATACACACGAGTTCCAGAAGTGTCAGTCCACATGACCTCTCTATAGTCGACCTGATGGAGCAGACTCCCAGCATACTCAAAACGTGCCTACGTTGGGTCCGGATTCATTTGAGCGAGAATTGCAAATTCTATGTCATTGGGGCAGGCGGGTCAGCCTCCGTCAACACATGGTTTGCTATGTGGAGACGTAAGTGAATCACTCGTTCTAGGAGGATGGCCATCAACTACCAAGTTCTGACGCCAATTCGAGTGAACATGATTTGCCCATTTGCTAAGAGAGACAGAGAGAGAGAGAGAGTGTGTGTGTGTGTCAAGCCCTGTTTCGAAGGTTTTTTTTGCAATCACGTGATACCGCAGGGGCGTGTGACACTCTTATCCTATCACACGCAACGAAGCTGTGGATAAGAGTGGGAAGGGAAACTTGGCCAGTTTCCTGTACCTGCGACGCAACTGTTGATCACGCTGTCTAATTGATCGGTTTGCTTCATGGTCCTTCATGCTACCCACCCCCAAACCTTTCTCTCGACCACTTTCAGCAGCCGCGCGTTTCATTGCTTGTCACTGCAGTTGCGAGTAAACAATTTGTTGAAACACCTTCAACTCATTGGATCTTTCACCGTGCCGTTCCATTTTTCCTGGCAATTGAGTTAACTGAAAACCAATGTCGAAATGTGAGCCGCTCAGCCGTCCCACATGGGTGCTGGGTGTGATCCTCCGCAAGGAGGCGCTGTTTACATACCGGAAATTGAGCCACTGAATCATCTTCCTTTCATTGACTTTTCCTCATTGATCTTTCTCTACCCTGAATTCACTGCTCATACAGCCGTCGGGCTATAAAACGAATTTGCCAGCCGCCGGGCTTTAAAACGGCTGTTTTCCTCCCTTCCCCCCCCCCCCCTTCCCCCCCCCCCCCCCCCCCCCCCCCGCCGCATTCTACTCCCTACCTAATTAGGGTAACATAGGGAAATGGTACTCGACACACTTGCGTGTCGGCGCCTTTCCCTCTACCCGCGCGTTTTAAGACTAAAGTCCCGCTCCCTAACTATTGCACTGTAATTAGTCTCGGCTAAGTAGTCAGTAATCCTAGAGTGCTAGGTATTCAAACACACACAAACACACACACGTACACACGCATGGACATACACCCCTCCCTGCCCCCCCTTTTCTTTCTTGCGCTTTCCGTCGTTTGTTGGGCTTTCTCTCAGGCTTTTTAGGTCGCTCTTGAGGCTCGTTTCCCTACCCCAGTCAAGGGCTAAGTATTCACTTTTCCTTTTTTCTACACCTATCTTTCTCTCTTGCCCTCTTAGCGCTGCTCTTTCTGTCTTTCTTTCTTTCGTTTCTAAGGCTTTTTAGGTATCTATTCAGGTCTCACACGAGCGCCGCCAAGCGGCACCGTGTGTGTGTGTGTGTCAAGCCCTGTTTCGAAGGGTTTTTTTGCAATCACGTGATATCGCAGGGGCGTGTGACACTCTTATCCTATCACACGCAACGAGGCTGTGGATAAGAGTGGGAAGGGAAACTTGGCCAGTTCCCTGTACCTGCGACGCAACTGTTGATCACGCTGTCTAATTGATCGGTTTGCTTCATGGTCCTTCATGCTACCCACCCCACAACCTTTCTCTCGACCACTTTCAGCAGCCGCGCGTTTCATTGCTTGTCACTGCAGTTGCGAGTAAACAATTTGTTGAAACACCTTCAACTCATTGGATCTTTCACCGTGCCGTTCCATCACCATTTTTCCTGGCAATTGAGTTAACTGAAAACCAATGTCGAAGTGTGTGTCACACTCTGTTTCCAAGAGTTTCCACACGCAGGGGGACATGGCGTGCGTTCAGGGACCATGTCCAACGAAGCTACCTGACGCACAGGAAGCACTGAGAGACGTCTCGGTGTGTACCTGCTGAACTGTTTCCACAAGCTGTCACCCTACTTTTCCACGGTTTGATTCATGGTTCTTTCACGATACTTCCCCTAAACCCACTTTCCTGCAGCTGAGCTTGTCACCGCTTGTTCAAACCATACTGTTTTTGCTGACTCTTTCACCTTGCGCTTCCCTCGCCCTTTTCGACTTGGGAACTGAGCTAACTGAAAACCAATGTCAGAGTGTGTGTAGCAAAGCACCAATTCCCTTCGTTTGACCTTCACGATTAGACGCAACAGGAGTATTTCCTCGTTCCGTTTGATACGGGCGGATAGGCAACGTCTTTTAATTTAGCCAGGCACATGTCTCTTGAGACGTTCTTTTGGTTTTTTCGACCACTCTGCTGAATGGGGTGGCTTGCCGAGTCCAAAGAAGATGAGTTCATTTGCCGTCAGAGAACCCCGCAGGTTCTTGTCCCCAAATCCATCTTTTAATTTAGTTTTTTGTCACACTAGGCTGCAACCGTGACAAATGAACCACACACTTGTTCGACAAGCCTAGAACGAGTTTCCGCCTTCAATTAGACGAGGAATGCGGTACTTTCAAGATCCCCTGCTGAACCCCATCATATAGTGTCTCTTGAATGGGCCTGCAAACAAATCCATATAGATGGTACCTTGGGTTGTTCCTCCATCCAAATTCCATGTGGTTCGATCTAGACCCCCAACTCATCTACTGCAATCATGGGTACGTAAACTTGTTTGAACACAAACCAACCCCAAACTCAACCAAGGTTGGTCTTGATTCTGTCTTAAGAGGTCAGCTCGTTCCCTCCAAGGCAGTGATTTATCCCTATTCTCCGAGCCAGTTCTGGTTCTACGAGCGCCTGGGCTTTTGGTCGCCATCGTTGGATGGGTGGAGCATTGGTGGAGCCATGAACAGGCCCATACAGGTCCCTGGTGCTGCACTGCACGCTTCCAAACGGTCGAGATTGGAGAGCAGATGAAGCGCTTGAAATTGGACCAGAGTCGGTTGTACAGTATACATCTTGCCCTTCTCCTGGTGATCCCTCTTTTTGAGTGGAGGTTATTTGATGTTATTTGCCTTCGCTGTCAACTGATTTCAAAACTGAATTGGTTCGATTGACAGATGTCCTCAGAGCCAACCCCTGCGTCTATTGCCCAATTGAGCTCAGTTTAAACAATGTAATTCAATGTAACGCATGGATTTATACAGAGGTTGACCTGTGTTTTATTTGCGTACCTTTTGCCCACTTGACACTTCCCAAACCCAAACTGCTGACTTTACTTGGTCGTGTAGATTTCTCGCCGCGGAAAAGCAACATCGCGGCCCCCCTCCACACGATGTTGGCCGGTGCCGCATGCTCATTCCAATCCGTTGTCTCGAGGCTATATTCCATGGCCGTGCCCCTCCTGATGCCAACCAGAGAATCCATGCCACTCTACGTGAGCCAGGCAAGAGGAAACGGCGAGCGGAGGGGACTGGACCTCCCGTCCGTATCGGTGACGAATCACACGATCCAAAGGCAAGTCGACTTCGTTCGCCAAGGGCACTACAGGAGGAACTCCTTGGCCGGCGTTTGGAACTCGCTTCGGATGTCGTGTCGTCGCTGCGATGTTTGGGTTCAATATTGGATCCTCTGGCCACAACGGAGCAAAAGGGTTCGGAATGTTCTGGAGTGTGTGAAATGGAGGGAGTTGCCCCGACTTATTGCAAACATTCTCATCGAAGTGGCACATAAATCGGTTACCCCAACCAAATTCTCCAGACGGTCTATTCTTGGTACCCAACGTAGCCAATCCCCATGGCTTCCTTCTTACACAATGTCACCAAACACGCTGCAACGCCGTTTCTTTCGGCCCCGACCGTCTCTCCCATCGATTGGGCCGTCCGTGGAAGCCCGCAGGATTACTCAGTGTGTCCAGACTTCGAGGGACATCGCTTGGGCCATGCGCCGCATTTGGTGCATCCCCACTCACCCTTTGATACCGATGACTGGGCGGCAATGACGTCTCCGGGCTGCAACTGGAGGATCATCCGGAAAACAACAAATGCGTGGTTTGTTGGGTAAAAGGGCTGGTTGGGTGGTGGATTTCGACACAAAGGTGTTTTTTGCGTGTGTAGAAAGGAAGGAGCGTCGTTGCTTGTGTAGGAAATAGTCTGTGTTGCTCCTCCTCGCGGCGGAAGCATCAAAGAAGAAATGACAATGCATCAAAAAAATGCACCCCAAAAAAAAGAAACAAACAAAGGAAGGAAGAGAGGAAGGAAGGAAGGAAGAAAGGAAAGAAAGGAATGAAACAAGAAAGACAGGAAGGAAAGAAGACAGAAAGGCAGGAAGGAAGAAAGGAAGGAAGGAAGAAAGAAGGAAAGGAAGGAAGGAAGGAAGGAAGGAAGAAAGGAAGGAAACAAGAAAGGAAGAAAGACAAAGGAACCAAAGAAGAAAGGAAGCAAAAAAGAAATTACTTTACTTCGAGTGAGCCCCACCATGACATTTCAATCATTTGACTTGATGCCATAGTGAGGAGCATGTTGCCATGGTCGTGAGTATTGTAGTTCTCGATTTTGCTTGTGGGTCCTCGGGTTGTGTGTTGTGGTTGTGGTTGTGTTTGTGATTGTGTGTTTGTGGCTGTGTGTTTGTGATTGTGTGTTTGTGGATGTGTTTGCGGTTGTGCTTGTGGCTGTACGTTTGTGGTTGTGTCTTTGTGGTCGTGTTGTTGTGGTTGCGTGTTTGTGGTTGCGTGTTTGTGGTTGTGTGTTTGTGGTTGTGTGTTTGTGGATGTGTTTGTGGTTGTGTTTGTGGTTGTGTGTGGTTGTGTGTTTATTGTTGTGTCTTTGTGGTTGTGTGCTTGTTGTTATGTTTGTGGTTGTGTGTGTGGTTGTGTTTGTGGGTGTGTGCTGTGGTTGTGTTTGTGATTGTGTTTGTGGTTGTGTGTTGTGGTTGTGGTTGCGATTGTGCTTGTGATTGTGTATTTGTGATTGTGTGTTTCTGGTTGTGTTTGTGGCTGTGTGTTTGTGGTTGCGTGTGTGGTTGTGTCTTTGTGGTTGTGTTGTTGTGGTTGTGTGTTTGTGTTTGTGTTTGTGGTTGTGTGTCTATTGTTGTGTGATTGTGGGTGTGCGTTTGTTGTTATGTTTGTGGTTGTGTTTGTGGTTGTGTGTTTGTGGTTGTGTCTTTGTGGTTTTGTTGTTGTGGTTGTGTGTTTGTGGTTGAGTGTTTGTGGTTGTGTGTCTGTGGTTGTGTGTCGGTTGTTGTGTCTTTGTGGGTGTGTGTGTTTGTTGTTATGTTTGTTGTCGTGTTTGTTGTTGTGTTTGTGGTTGTGGTTGTGGTTGCGTGTTTGTGGTTGTGTTTGTGGCTGTGTGCTTGTGGTTATGTGTTTGTATTTGTGTGTTTGTGGTTGTGTTTGTGGTTGTGAGCTTGTGGTTGTGTTTGTGGTTGTGTGTTTGAAGCATACTATCTGCCATTCAATCTGCCATTCTATCTGACATACTATCTGGCATTCTATCTGGCATTTTGTCTGGCATTCTATCTGGCATATTTTCTGGCATTCTATCTGGCAATCTATCTAGCAATCTATCTGACACACTATTTGCACTGCGATCGGATCCTTGCGGTTGAGGTCCAGGGATGCACACTGCGATCGGATCCTTGCGGTTGAGGTCCAGGGGTGCACACTGCGAGGGGATCCTTGCGGTTGAGGTCCAGGGGTGCACACTGCGATCCGGAGCTGGCCAGACAAGATCGGCGAAGCAGATTGGCGAAGCAGATTGGCGATGAAGATTGGCGAGGCGAGGAAGCAAGCAAGGAGGAAGGAAGCAAGGAGGAAGGAAGGAAGGAAGGAAGGAGAAAGGAGGGAGAACAACTGTGATAAAATCTACCAACCCTCACCTGGCAGGTGGGGAAAAAGCAACAAAGAGGAACCAAAGAAAAAGGGAAGGGAAAAGTAAAAAAGGAAGACAGGAAGGAACAAGAAAGGAAGAAAGAAAGACGAACCAAAGAAGAAAGAAAGGAAGAAAGAAAAGAAGGAAGAAAGGCAAGAGACAAGAAAGGAAGGAAACAAGAAAGGAAAGAAATCATCATTTAGCAAGTCTGGTTGACCCGATGCTCATCCCTGCGAGTGGAGTTTCACAAGAGGTCATTCAAATTGCATGAAGGCATCACTGTAGCAGTTGCGTACTGTACTGGCACATCTGAAATGCTAAAAGCTCTACATAACCCATACACATAGCCCAAATACTCACAAAGACACCTATGTAATCTATACTCCCTGTCACTCTCTCTCTCTCTTTTTCTCGCTCTGTGTCTCTCTCTGACTACTGGTCCCTGCTGGAGATTCAAAGCATGACTGTGATTTCTATGTCACATTATAAGTGGGAGAGGAGACACACATGAAAGAAGAAAAGACACAGGGCAACAACGAAAGAAAGGAAGAGTTGGGGAGGGAGGGGGAGGAAGAAAAACGGGAAGGAAGGACGATAGGAGATAACGAAAAGCAAGGAAGGAAAGAAGGAAAGACAAGAAGAACCATGCTTCAAAGAAGACACCAAAGCAGGAAAAGGATTATATAATGATAGCAAGAAAAAGCAGACCATTGGCCACATGATCCACCAGGTGATTCGAGAAGAAGCATATCGAGAGGGAAGAATGAAGGAAACAGGAAAATCCCGTTTCGGTGTCCCACCTTCCCTCCCAAGAAAGGTTGCAGCCTGGTGACGGATCGCGCTCTCTGCAGATCCTGCCCACCCTGAGATTCTACATTGTATGTTTCTGGAGCTTATCGCCCGGCCTTTGTCTAGTGGTAGCGGAGGGTTGCCCAGCTGAATTTGAGATATGTTAACGGAGACTGGAGACTTGGACAATTGAGCAGACCATAGCGGCCATCAGTAAAACATTTCTTCTAGGGTGCCCTTCGCGGTTGCCACTTGCTTTGCTGAGGGGGAGGTATGAAATCATTTTCACATTTTACGCCTTCTACTTCTCATTCACGTGAGACTTGTGCAGCTATATTATTTCTCAAGTGTGCTCCTGAACCTTCGCCTGCCGCCTGGTCCGGGCCACATGCTAGTTTGGTCTGGTGTGGAAATAAGTCTTGCACTCCTGCCTGAGGTTTCTCCGTGCCCGACCTGCCGTGCTCTTAGTGGGTCTGCGCCGAAAACTTTGCATGCGCGCAGTGGAAAGAACGTTTACAGTGAGTATGCATTCATTCCGAGGGCATCCAGTCTTGCTGTAGGACCCGAGCCGCTCTCAAGCAGTCGTTTGGTCATGCCTGCCATCTCGATGTGATTCCGGCAGCTCTCGGTGCAACAGGTTCGGCTCAGGCGACTATGCACCCGCCCTTTGCCCCAATTCCTACATCTTGGACTGAATCTGCTTTGGTTGATGCGCCTTCGAACCTGGCGCTTACTTTGCCGATGGCTTCTGGACTTGGCCCGGCATGCCTCCAGGTGCTTCAGGCTCCGTATTTTCCAGTATTGAATCTGTGCATGTTCCTGGCGTCCATGGGGTTGCAGATTCTTCTTCTTCTTCTGGTCTTGCGCCCGTTGCTGCTGTCCATGGGTTTCCACATAGCTTGCCCTCTGGTCTTGCAGGAATTAATGGTGGCGACGGAGTTGAAAGACCTGTTGGACTTCCTGTTGTGGGTGTTGCTGGCAGCGATGATCTTGCGAGCGCAGACCTTAGAATTGCTGCTGCTAACCCTTCGTCTGGTTATGCTGCGCCTGTTCCTGGTGTTAGCGAGCTTGCAGATTCCGGTCTTGAACTTGTTGCTGTTGCTCCTGGACTTGCAAATTTTGGGCCTCGTGGTCTTGGACGTCCTTGCTTCTTGAATGACCCGCAAGGGGAAATTGAATACTACTTCCAAGGTCTAGCGAATACTGGCGGGAGGGCTGCTTTGGAGACAAGATACTGGGAAAAATATGCCTATGTATTGCCAATACATTGAGCAGAAGTCGTTGCAAGAAATTGTTAGGGATTCTGTGACGCATCTCCGTTCCATCCAAAGGCAGCGATTGACTGTTGAGGATGCAGCAAGATTGCCGCGTAGTTTGGGCTTCACCACTACCCTGCCATGCATGTGCAGTCGCTTGCGAGTTCTTTCACCGAGGGTGTGGCTTTCCTGCAGTCTTCGTGTTTGATTTGATCCAAGCTTGCCTGGCATCATGTCAACATAAAGATGTGACTATTGCCCTTTATGCGGATCAGTCGAAAAGTTCTCACGCGCAAAGCACGTTGGTGGGCATGTCCCACAGGTGACCCTAATGCCGGGAAGTCACCAGCCTGCGCGGCCATCAGTAAAGTCTTTGCGGCGCTCGTTTTCCAACACCGTCCATTGTCTTACCCTGTGGATCACTTTGTGGGTGTTGGGAACAATGGGAAAATCCAAGAAAGGCTTCGGAAATTGGAGGGGGTGCTGCTTCTGTGGGGGCCCGAAGCGAAGCCACCCAATTTCCCGATGGGAAGTTCCTAGATCTGACCCGGTGGCTTGAATGTGCAAATGGGGGCAAATTTGAATGGGGAACAGGGGCAGAAGAAAAGCAAGCTCTCAAATCAGATGCAGACTCGGTGACTCCTTTAGTTTTCCCGTCGACAAATGTGAACTTGTGCCTCTTCCAACAGTTCAATTTGTTCAAGAAGTGGTGGGGGAGAGTTGAACAGAAACATCAATGTGGATTTGCTGCCCGCGTCACCCACCACACGAGCAATCGTCGACAGGGACACAGGCCTTCTGGATGCAAGTTCTCTCGATTCCTTCTTGCGCGCAGTGTGGCTTGAAACTGCCCGCACTTTGGCCCCAGTATTCCGCGCCAGTCTTTGCTCACAACGTCTGTGTCTGCTCAGCATTGTGTCCGTGACTACTATTATGAGTCGCACGAGCTTGCTGAATCGGGCACTTGGGGATCAGCTGGACTTTCTTCATTGGAGAAAATGGAGTATCATGTCCCTAGTTCTGCGCTGCCATGTTCCTTCCATGAGTGGGCTTTGTCAGGCGGCAGAAGAGACACGGTCCTATCGGATAACTGTGAAGTGGGGCGTTCGCCATTTCGATTTACGCTTTGTGCATGGGTGCAACATTGTTGCTTCTGAAGTTGCTGAAAGATGTGCTTCATCAGCGCAACGTGCAGGCAGCCCCCCGCCAGCCCGCAACCCCCGTTCCTTGCCTCCCCGGCTTTTGTCAGCTTGCGCAAAAAACTCATCATTTGTCGGATGTCGGAAGTCACATCACTTGCATGAAAGGAAGCGCGCGTGTGCAGGACCTTGTGGACTTGCTTCAGACTTTAGCATCGATGGGTTTAGGGGAGGGTTGCCAGGGTCGTCGTCTACCGAACAATCACGATGGACTTCGGACTGCTTCCCCATGTCCCCTGCGATCGCTGCCAAGCTTCGCCCGCTTTCTGTACCTGAAGCTTCATGGCCACAAGCTGCGCCACTGATGCGTGGCGCAGGGAAGGCGGGCCGCCCGCCTGCTGCAAACTATGTGTCGCCTTACACCCATACTAGTTCTATGCCTTTGGAGCAGGAGTTGCTTGACAAGGAAGGTTTCTTGAGGCATGAAAAGGCATGGGCTGGCTCATTGGTGCCCGGGCAGGCATTGAACATTCGGCACAACTTTTTACCGTGCAAAGCCGGCTTCAAAGCTTCACTGTGGTGTAATTCTTGCTCTTCTTGCAAAGACAAAGCCGGTTGGAGAGGTTACTCAGAGTACACCACGGGCACCAAGATGTTTTTTTTTGGAGCCTCCACCCCCCTCCTCGCAGGGGTGCACACATTCATGATGAAAAGCAAGTGAGCGACATGTGCCGTTGCTCCTAGTATAGCTTCTTGTTAGTAGTATGGCCAGGAGCTACTAGTAGCGTCCTTGCTCCTACAGTAGTAGAGCAAACATTTGTCGTTGTGTGTTTTCCATAATTATTCTGAGTTCTGAGCATCTCAAAATATCCTGAGCGTCTTAACAATCCACTTGTTGACGTCGGCTCAGGTACTGGGCATCCTTCACAGATTACCTCACTTTGCCACATGTCCTCCACTTCTCTTCAGTGCCCGACCTCTTGAGGTTCGCCTGCCGCTTTCGGGAAACCCGGCTGAGGCTTCATTTGCTGAAGTAAAGAATCATGTTTCATCCGTTTTCAAGCAAGAAGGTGTTCTTGAAACAAGGACTACCAAACTGCCAACAACAGTGGCACACTTTCAAGTTTGGTGTTCCTCTGTTCTTCTTGGATCCATAGGCGTTCCCCGACCCTCTTCTCTACACTGCGCTTGTCACATGTGACATCAATCTTTGCTCACCAAGCACTGCCAGGTTGGTGGAAACCTCAAACCTGCATGCAATCAGCCGTGCCATGCGGAAGGTTCATGCGCGGATCCCCGCAGATGTGATTGCCTGACATGGGTGGGGCAGTCGCAAGGGTGCACATGTTTTGATGCATTTTGATGCTGTCCAGTTGCAAGTAGGGGCTCCTCTACCCTACTTGCGAACACAAATAGCTGTGTAATTGCTGGTATTCGTATGATTTTGTAGGGCAGTTTTTTATACTGTTAGAGCACCAGCCTCACATCTATGTTTGTTGTGTCTCTATGGGAAGAGATGTCATTGTCAGCACACACCACGGCAAAGCTTTTCGCCAACATATTTATAAAGGAGACGACGGACTTAGAAGCTGGTATCAAAGGGCGATGATGCCCTTCTTTCATACATGGTATTTTCTCCTTAAAAATGCGGGCTGCCTTATGAGTCCCTACAGCCTGATTTGATCCCGGATGAAGGAAGAGTTCCTTGTTTCTATGATTAACTACTTGATTGAAATTTTATCCTGTTGAACAAAAAAGACGTGTGTTTTAATTGAAGTCGTTTAACACACACTGTCACATTGATAAAAACAAGTTGTTTGACTAGAGTAGTTTATCATTGTATGTGGTTTAGGGGGAAGTTGGCTTTATACTTGACTCGTTCTCTTTTCAACATACTGAACATTTGAGCCTTATCTTTTATTGACAGTAGTTAATTGTTGCATGGTTTCGGTAGCCTGGAGATGTTTAGGTTTCAAATTGACGCGTGTGGTTTTATTATTGTGATGTGAACATTATGTAATGCTTTTGGTGCATAGTAGAGAATGAAGAAAACGTCAACTAACCATATTATAAAGCAATGAATGAGCCAGACCAGAATTTGCTGTTGTTCCCATATATTGCCCACAAAGAGCCAGTCAGTTGGACAGAAGCGGCCAGGGTTTGTTGTCTGTCACAACGAGTTCTCGCCCGCAGATGCAGCATTTGGGCATTGCGCAAACATTCTGGAGTGAGGCTGGATGCCCGGGCGGTCTTTGTAGTCCCACAAGGAGGTGGGCTGGACATGCTTTTCGGGATGCATACATTAGCAATCTTTGTTGGAAACCTGTGTCGGTCTTTGTGTAAGAGGTGGTGGGTTTCGGGTCCTATGCATGCATTCTGGAGCGGTGGCAAACAATCCATTTCGTATGTATGTTGCAATGTACAATGAGAAATCGGTGAGACACAGCAATCCAGAAATGGACCCTGCAAGTCGAGCTGCCTATGGTGGCCCTGGTGTTTCTGTGGCTGGAAGTAAGCCGGGTGCATGTCAATGTTTTGTTGGATTCACTCAGAAATGTATTGTCATCCATGAGTTGGTGGAGTTTTGCTCTTTTTAGTACGTGTGTGTGTTTCCTTTCTAACTAAATAGATAATAAGCCATTCTTTCGGATAGGGTGGTACTGAAAATAGATGCCCAAGTCAAGAGGAGTTTTCAGCAGACCTTCAATCCTGCAGGCCTGCGCACGTCCTCACCTTTCTACGAATCAAACTCACTCATCATCTAGTCTCGCGGGTGAATCTTTCAACAAGTTGGGCTTCTCACATCCAAAACATGTGAGGGTTGCAAGAGCAGGTACTAGCTGCAAGCAAACATGCTCACTATTACGCTGGATTGCCATGTCCAAAAGTCGGGACCGTGCCTGAAATAATAGTGTTAATCTGTTGCATTTGTCGTGCAGATGTTTGAGTGTTCCGATGTTGGCATGTTTCTTCTTCCAGCCGACTAGAGCACTGAGTAAATTCTTGTTTCCCACTAAACAGTATACTTTGTCGGTAGAGAAGTAATTCAAATCAGAGAAGATCGTTACTGATTCACAATGGTCCATCGCCGCTGAAGCACTGGCTCCTATGGCAAAGGCCATTTAGACAGGCAGACATCATCGAGTTCATCAAAAGAGATTGATATTCAATAATTTGGAGTGCAAGACCAACCGCATTCTTGGCTCCAGAAATATTTCAGAGGCCCATTCTGGCCCATTCTGTCCTTGTATATACACCCCTTGAAGGGTGGGCTTTCTGGTATCCTCGCATGGCGGGAGCCGAAGCTTGACATACTATGGAGGAGATGTTTGTGCAGCATTGTGGTGGAATTATGTTTGTTGGGTGTACTTTTACCCAACAAACATGGCAGTGGATAATGGTTGACAATTCCCCGCTTTGCTTTTGCTTTGCAAACTGGATTTGCTTTGCATCCATATGGTTGGAAAGGATGCCATTTTAGACTCTGTTGGACATGATCATTTTTTAGATTGACACTTCATCCTGGAATGTCCTCATCACAGAATCCTTCTCGTTGGCTTCCAAACCTGCGTTTGCCTGAAACTTTGGCCTTTTACTTCTGTCAGCTGGAAATTTGTATGTGGCAGAAGGATGGGGGCCACCGATTGGGCCATGGGTTCGCATGCCCCAATCTACCAGGCAGGTCTTAGACGGTCAGACAGATCCATCCAAGGAAGTGCTGGGCGCACCCGTGGGGTCTCTCGCTGTACCTGGAAATGACGAAGACCTCACCAATGAAGAGCGTTGGAACATCATTTGGGCAGTCTCTCAGTCTGCGAAGTGGAAGAGCTCTGGGTATGGAAGGGCAAAAACAAACGCGAGAGAGAGAGAGAGAGAGCGTGTGTGTGTGTGTCACACCCCGTTCGCAGGGGTCTCACCATGCTAGCAGGGGAACTGGGCACTCTGTGACTGACCCAGTTCAACGAGGCTAGGTCACAGAGTGGGATATTCGGACTGATCATCCGAACGTACCTGTGATCGCTTGAACTTTTGAACAAGCTGTCTACCCTACTTTTCCTTTTGGGGGGCTGCCACTGCCGCGCTTGAGTTTCGCTGACAATTGCCTTGTTAAAACACCTTCAAGTTCACCGACCCAGCAGTGACCTGCTGCATCTTCCCACGCGGGTGTGCAGTGTGATTGTCTCAGTCTTGCAACCATTTTTTCCACATGAGATCGTCACATGCATGGAATTCACAATCCCGTATTTTCCCCCCCCCCCCGCCGTTTTCTCTCATGCGGCTTTCTTCATGTGTTAGGTTTTCCTTCAGGCTTGTTAGGTTGATGTTGAGGCTCGTTTGCCCCACCCCTCGAGTTCGTTTCTTTCTCTCCTGCCTTTTGTTTTTCTTTCTGAGTCTGACTCTTTTCTAGAGGCTCTTTAGGTGCGCAACCAGGTTTTTTAGTCAAGGGCTAAGTATTCATTCGTTTTTTGCCTTTCTAGAACCAAGGTAATTCCAACGCTGTCTAATGCCTTGTTTCCACGTTAAGCACGTTAAGCAAGTGCGCCCCGCTATGCGGCCAGCTGTGCGTGTCACAGTCTGTCCCCTTTGGGGAGCTGCCGCTGCCGCGCTTGAGTTTCGCTGACGATTGCCTTGTTAAGACACCTTCAAGTTGACCGACCCAGCATTCTTGCCGTTTGCGCTAACTAGCCAGTCAAGCGTTCCTGCATCACTTCTAACCACTGGACATTACGTTCCCTCACCGAAACTATGATTCTAAGTGTGTGTTGGTACTCGGCACAACGATCAATCTCCGAAAACAATCCTGAACATCATGTTCTTAGTACCCAAATGATCTCGTGTCACGTCTACATAAAACTTGAGAGACCTCGCAGTTCCATCCTGGTGAAACACGGGGTACCGAAGTCCATTGGTGAATCCATCGTTGAGGTTTGGTGTCGCTCCCCATGCTTTGGAGAAAACAGAAGGACACGTCGCTTCCCAAAACTACTGGTAGCAAGAAACTACTTGTAGCAAGGTGCCTTAGTACTAGTAACAAGAATCCACTACAATCCCAAAACTGGTTGAAGAACAGAATTATCCTCATGGTGTTTTTCGGACATGTCGCTCAGAAGTGGCCAGACCGATGATTGAACTAGGCGAAGGTTCAATAACCTGATGTGAAGTCGATTGGGAGGTCTTGTGCTAAAGATGTTGATTTCAGTGTTGATCTCATGATTGACTTGGTCCGTTGTGGTCACCTGAAATGTGTTTGTTGTTGATCGATCATATGAGAAAGCGCCAAGAAGTCCTATGAAGAGTTCGGGAGGTGAACCCCGTTGACATTGTAAAGTTCTGCAATCATTGTGTGTAGTGATAGGAAACCCTGAAGAGTATGATCTTCCTATCTCCCAATCCTTAGCGGCCTTAGCGATACCTGGAGCGATACCAAGCGACATCCAGTCCGTTCACCCCTCCCCGTGTGGTTCTACCAGAACTTACTAACCCTACAAGCGTTTCCTCATGCCACATAGCAAAGAGCTTGTCGAGGGCCTTTGCAATTTTTTGAACATTTATAGCTTTCATGTGGGAGCTTCTAAGAGGAACCACAAAGAATCCTCCGGGTTGAGGGGAACTGTAGAGTTCTTTGTTTTTGGATTGGGACTGTGTGAGTGTGAGCAATAGGAAACCTTGAAGAGCAATACCCTAGCAGCAGAATGACTAGCATGTTTTGATCGTGCACGTGTGATGTGTTGTTTGACCTTTTTTTCTGGGTTCAATCGGTCCGATGAGTAAACATATGCGTAAAACTATGAACAAACATGTTGCAGTTGATCTCGTCGGTATTCGTGGGTGAGTTTCTTGAATGCGTACCAGTGACTGGAGCAAGTTGCGATTGTGTTGTCACACGACTTCCTTCACAAGTGGCACGATCAGTGCTCCAGCCTTTGCTTGCTATTGAATCTGAGAGACCTGTTGTAATTCATACGTAGCTGAGGCTGTGAACGCCTACTACACCTTCGACACTTTGCTTAGAGTATGCCTGCATCACTGAGCTCCATACTTGGCCTATTCATGATTCTTCGGATGATGGTTGACTCACCCGGGCTCTTTCAAGCGGTGCCAGTACTGGATTGACTTTGATTGAGGATTGTGTGTCAGAGCATGATTTTTGCAACGAGTGCTCTGTGGGCATCAGAATGACATGCCAAGATGCAACACATATAGAGAGTTGTTTGTGGCGCGGCGCTACGGTTCTCCCCAAATGAGCCCCTTCAAGGTGCCATCCAGCCAACGAGCGACCTATGTACGGCTGGATGAGTCACAGCACATCCCACTTAAGATCCCAAACGGGATGCTCATCTAGCTAGGGATGTTCACTGGTCCGGGTGGTTCACCAAGTGCAGCTGCATGGCAGAGTTCGATCCAGAATTGGCCGTCCACGCACATGGCCGTGCCCTTGGTTCGTGCCCGGTGTTCTGCTTCGGCGGACAAGGATGCTGGAGTCGCCTTGGGCTTGTCACTGCTGGCCCTGATCGCACAAGTCGTGGCCCCTTGGCGATCACGTCTCGGGTCGGTTTGGGGTGAGACGCGTGGGCTGACCGGCAGGTGTGCTAGGCAGGTCTTTTGGTTCAGGGGTGTTCAAACAGGTTGAGGTGTGCTAGGCAGGTGTGTCGAGCGGGTGGAACGATGTGGAACGAATCGCAGATCGAATCGATCACGGGGCTTTCACTTGGACGCCGCCACAAGGTTCGACATGTGATGACCTCCAGCTGTGAGAGTTCCTTGTGGATTATCTCCTTGGTGTCTGGGCCGGGAGAGAAGGGCGACAGTAAGCGCGTGGTTTTAGAGCGCCAAAAAAGCTTGGAGATTGCAGCATGCAATGCATGCAACCACTTTAACTATTTGTTGTTGCCATTTGTTTGGCGAAGAGTGAAGCAGCAGCTCAGGAAACATGTTCTAACTCAGAAGAGTTGGGGGGAACGAAAACCGGAGTCTCTCTTCAGGTCGTGCTGATTCTACGATTCGCAGACTTTATATGCGGTTGTTGCTCCATCATGCGCCTCTTGACCTGCATGGCGGGGCCCCATGCATGAGTGAGGAAACTCCGCACAAGAAAACTGGGAAAACAGATTGCTCACATTTGTTGGATTTCAAGAGTGCCACTTTCTTAGGATTTGTATCCCCAAATGACCAAATGGGACTAACAGCGATTTGGCCTGGATACTTCGTGGCCGATAAAGTTTGTGCTGCACTGCTGCCTGCATGTGATCAAGTGCTAAGCGCAAACTTAAACATCGGGAACTTTTGCCCCCGTTGGTCGGGAAGCCATCGTTGGAGTCCATGTTTTGTCCGTTTGCTGTCGTCTGTCTTGTCAGTTGCTCTCCCAGACCCAATCATGTTCTTGTGTCGTTGCAGATGAGGGCAGTAGCCCCTGAGAGTCATCCGACTCGCTGAAGGAATCCACACGAATCGCAATTCTTCTTCGCACTGACTCGTGCAAATCATCCGTTCCCAGCTCAGGAAACCCTGTGCCCAGCCGGGCAGGATTTCTGTGTGACATTTTTAAGAATCTGGTACCTGGAACTGAAAATGGGAAGCTCCAGGGAGGAGGGAGGAACGTTTGGGCACCGACGACTTTGGTGGGACCGAACGTCAAGTCCTTCGAGTCCTTCGAAGACTTGTTACTACTAAGACTAGTAAGGCACTTGTTACTAGAAGCGATGCACTTGTTCCTACTAGATATCGATGAAAACAAGGAAACTGGACGGAACTCGTCAGATTGTTTTCACGGTCCTTGAGTACAGACGGCAGGACTGGGCAAGGTATTGTGAGTCTATTTGAGTCGTTTGGTGTTTTCACCGGGCTCCATCCATGAACTCGGCTTGACTGGTAGCAACGAGCACGTGGATGTGTGTGGTGGTTTTTAGGTTCAGCCTCATGGGTTGGTGACGAGTGAATTTCAGCATCGAGCCTATACGAGCTCCACACCAGGGGCCATGTGAGCACTGGGTGTTTTGTGTGTGTGTGGGGGGTGGCAGTTCCGGCTGTTCCATGTCATGGGTTGACACGGGTTACCATGTTTTGGTAGCACATGGGTTGCCTAGGGCCTATTATAATGTGGCATGTGCAGATCTGGCTGGTGGTGTTCTACCACCAAGCATATGCCACAAGAGTAGAACAAGGACATCGGCCACGTACCAGGATAGTCGGACAGGAAGAATGGCTCTACACGACACCATAGATTCATGTGTAATGTATTTTCCTAAATAAGCTGCCCTACTTTTCAACGCGCCATACACGTCGACATTTACCGTGTCTAATCCTCATCACCTCACTGGTGGGCTTGGTCTCATCGCTTCACCGCGAAGGTGATCACCTTTCTTCAGGGCATCGCTGCGCTGGTGCAGTTTATCCTGGGCATCACGTGCCTCGTTGGTGTCGTCCGTTGCGCCGGATGACCGTCCGCCCGGATGACCGTCCCGCGGTCCGTTGACCGTCCGCGAGAAAGAAAACAACAATTTCTCCACGAGGAGTAGCCTTCCAAAGATAGATTTAGATCTTTCGTGGTCCAGTAAACGAATCACCCCTTCCCCAGCAGGGTTTCGGCGAAGAAACGTCCCGAGGACGGTTGTTCAAGAAGGCTGTGCTTTGCAAGGGGGTATTGGAATTGGCTCTGGCATCCTCCTCGGCATTCAGGACTGTGGGCTATGTTCGTTCGTTCGCAGTTCCCAGAGGCTGAACATGGCTGAACCCAACCTCGATGCAGATCCTCAGACGGCTTTTAAAAATGCCAATCCGTTTCTCTTCTTCACCTCATGGATGGCCCTCCCCAGAGCGCGAGGCTGCTGAGGAGACCTGCATTTGGACGATCGTCCTTTGTTTGTGGTGCGTGGCAGGCGCATTTTTAGGGCACGTGTGCGTGTGCCGCGTTGTTTACAGCGGGTGGGTGTTCAAGGGACGTAGAATAGGGAATTATAAGACCTGTGCAGGATCACACCCTCGAATGTCACCCGCACGTGTCAAAGCTTTGGTTGGGGACATGGAATTGAATGGATCAAAGCACTGACAGATTGAAACTGGGGAGCTTTGGAGCATCCCACCACCAAGCCACTTGGTTTGTCCACATGCGTTGGAGGTAGTACACCGGCTTTTGATGTGGATAATATATATATATATATATTAGCCTCTTTGTGGAAAATGTCAATGTCCGAATAATTGTATAGTTCTCTCTAAAGAATCACAGATCTACAGTGAGTCTACAGTATAAATTCTTGCAAAAACAACAAGAGCATTCCGCATGCCGAGTTGCACCACTCTGAAATACTCTGAACACTTCTGGTGAGCAGATCCGCAAGCAGCCCACGCGGTCCCACTCGGCCCGGAGGCTCCTCTCCAGTCCCTGGATGGTTGCTTGGTTCGCAGGGACATGTGGCACAACTGAAGCTTCGAAGGGCCAAAGAGGGGATTCCAGGAAAGTACAAAATGGTTGAAACGATCCTACAACGACTTGATACATAATCATTTGGGAGGATCCTCATGTTAGGGTACACTCAAGCAGCATGAAGCGGCCAAAAACTGAGAGACATGGTGATGGCAGTGACTGAACATGTCAACTGATACACCAGAAAAAGAAAGAAAAAACGCCAACAGCAGAAAAGGGAACATCTTATGAGTGTTTCATTATGTTTCATTATTTTGTCCACATGTTCTTCTCCTCCCCAGTTTCGGCCCCCGGTGTGCAGCGCACCCGGAACCCTCCCCGAGGTGCGACAAGTGGGTACCCGAACGGGCAAAGCGCGAGGCGCGGAAGCACAGGACGCGGCTGGCGGGTTGCGGGTTGCAGAGCGGATCGGGGGATCTGAATGGGAGCCTTTTGGAGATGGAAGGAGCCCACGGAGTTCCTTAAAGGCAGAGTGTTACAGAAAACCTCTTTTTTCATGATAAGGGCCACTATAGTTGATGGATGTTCGTGGATGTTGATGTGTTCTTAAGATTCACTTCAGCTACGTTTAACTCGGCAGGTGTAGATATTAAGTTGTGTTTTGAAAGTATCCCAACTGCTCACAGCCCCTTGTGGAGGGATGAACGAGCCAAGCTTTCTGGCTTCATTCTACTGGCCACACGGTTTTGATGGCCAAGTTTTGTGAGGGCTGTGAAAACATGAGGAACTGAAGGTTCCAACATGATTGTGGATATATCGCACAAGCTGTGGTCCATCGTAAGAAACGGAGTTGACCCAAAGGACATGATCTCGATAGCATGTAGGAGTTCTTTCGTGCGAACCCTTTTCAAAAGAGTTGGGTCATTATTACACTAGTAAGTTCCCAAGGAAGTCATTACGAGAGACTATAGACTATAGTATACATAAGTGTCCAACAAGGCATTGATGTTTGTCTTTTGATGTTAAACCCAAGTTTGATCGTGGCTCTCTTTGTTGAGTGTGATTCTGTGATTCTCTGCTTTGCACAAGCTGTTGAGTCGAAGAGGTGTCGACAGAGGACAGGGCCGTCGGACATCTCCAGGAACAAGAAAGCAGTGAGCACTGCTTGAGTGCAACGGGGAGCTTGGTTTGCCGAAGTGCTTCAAGCCTTTGAGCCTCGCTTTACTTGTCTAATACACAAAGGTGGAAGACGAGGTGGAAGGTGGTGAATTCCATGTTCAGCTCAGATGTGGAGGTTGTTGATGGTTGCTGTGGTTACAAGCTTGTGGCAGCAAACAATTCAAGAAATGCTGGCGGTTCAACGTAGAATTATGTTTGCCCACTCTTGACTTTATGATCATAATCATGGCTTTGATTTGGCAGGAGGGATGTTGGTGTTGTACAGTCCCCTGGTTGCTCTATGCCTTGCAATGTTGATCCAATCAGGGCGCTTGCAAATCTGGATGATGGTGCTTGCTGGCAGGGCGTGGTGCGAACGGTTCTTGTTGTCAATCTCATCTCCCTAATTACCTAATTTATAGACTTGGCGTGTTCGCCAGCCGAAGCACAAGTCCACCGTGATGGTTTTCGCAAGTAGATTCTGCCGAAGGCATTTAATCTCGACCTGACACACCACCGAGGGCGGCTGAAACAACGAAAAGCGCGCGAGTAGCCGGAATCTCAAGGTGCTAAACACCCTATGCTGATCCATGCTGTTTGTTCATTGCTGTTCCAGCTGGTGTTCTTATGGTGTTGTTTTGCTGTTGGGCCCGAAGTAGAACATGCACAGACACATGTCAAATAGGACTAGTATCAATGAAAGGTCCTGATGTTTTCCACCTGTACGTTCTGTTTGAGCACCAAGCCTGGTACGTTCCCCACTGAGCATGGTAGGCCTTGGAGCGGGTGGCCAGCATCAGGAAGAAGCCCCGAAGGGCCCAGCCTCTAGAGGAGGCGTAGCGTTCCCTGGATCGCGCTATGGTTCCGAAGACTCATCGAGCTGTGGATGTTTGAGGATCATGTGGATCCTATTTCAGTCTGCAAGAGGAACTGGGACTTGACTTGCTGGAATTGATGTCAAATATGCAAAGGCATCCTCCAACAAGGGTTACTGTTTCTGAAAAAAAATAAACATCTAAAAACCATGCATATGTGTCATTTCCAGGCTTACACCAAAAAAAAGGAAAATGCAATGAACTGAAACGGTCGACGTTCGATGTTCAGTACTGCGAGGTTCGGAAGCTTTCCGCCTGCCAAAGAGGTATTTCACACCTGCTCCCTGTTGATGTCGGTGCTTCATTTGTGTCTAAGCTTGCACCGACTTTCCCAACAGTCACAGTTCCGCCCTCCAACCTAATAGCGATGGCCTCTCTCCTCGTAGCGATGGCCTCCAAGCTGCTGGTGATGACTCTCCAACCTAATAGCAATGGCCTCCACCCTATAGGCGTTCTTGAGAAGAAAACCTAGTTCGTCTTTTTCGTCCCTTTGAACTTGTAGGTCAAGAGACACGTGAAGTTGTGCGCCGTCAGTTCTTGCATCGAAGACCTTCAATCAAACACCAAAAAGGGACCCTGCTAGACATGAGCAAGTGGCTCTTCCCTCACACCTCGACTTCCTCCCAGAAAAAGAACAGGACAAAAAAAACAGTTCAAATCCTTCAAATGTCCCATGAACATCTCCAAACCATCCATGAACATCTCCTCACTGTCACACCATTGGCTCTCCTGCCTTAAGACGTCACTCATTGACGTCTCTGTCGAGCAAAACCCCAACCTCGGTCCTCGTCCGGCTCCAGGGCTTTGCTGCTCCGCACAACCTGATGAAGGACGAGTTGCGGGACCTCTCCACTCGGCAGCCCAGCGGTGAGCGACCGAGTGTTGGTGTCAGAGGAGTTACCCACCTGGAGGGTGAAGTGCTTGACTAAACGCATGCATGCATTCTATTTATGTGTTGTTAATATGTAAATTTGAGTTCAGAACAGTAATCCACTGTTTGCCTTCGGCAAGAAACAAGAAGATCTTGTGATGTTTGTGTTTTTCTGCACACATGCAGTGCCTACATCTGAAACCAACATGTCCAGCACCGATCTTGTACTTTTGTTGGTTTCTGGGCCAAATGGCTGGCCGCACTGAATGAACAGTCAAGACCACTGGCTGGCGCAGGTTTATGAAGGTATCCTAGGGATGATGGCAAGACGGAAACGTTTTCCTAGTGTTTTGTATAGATTGTACTATCATGGGTTTCGCTCGACAGATCCAGCAATTTGGGGTCACCATGGATGAACATGAGAGATTTGACCATCTACCGTCGACCCCAACCTGTCAGGATACACTGATACATATACTGATACATGATAGAGATACACTTGTACAGCAGAAGTCTGCTGCCCGGTCAGGGTTGGACAGACGTTTGCCACAGGTGGCTCGCCAGCCCGGCCGGATGGCCCCCATCGTTTGGCGAATGATGGCGACACACGACAGGACCGGTGAGGTTGGGCAGCTACTAGGAACAAGGTTCGCTACTAGGGGCTCCTGGCATCGCTACTAGGAACAAGGACACTACTAGGAGCAAAGGGCATCGCGAAGGAGTTGCTGGTTGCATTGAAGAGGTTGGGTGGTGACCAGAGTCTGGCGAGCCCACAGGATTTTTGGCAACGGAACAGCAGATGGGCTGAAATTGTGGATAGACTACACATTCTAGATGTCTTGGCTCTAATCTCAGTCCATGGGATAGACATTCACCACTTGGGAGTGTATAGTCGGAGATTGATTTTCCTTCGAAGAGCTGCGTCCTCAAGCTATCCCGTTCCGCAGGACCATCCTCACCAATACCACTTCGACATGGTGGCGGCGGCCCAGGCAGGCAGAGCGGGGGGCATGGGTGGAAACGGTGACGAGGCGGCCACACAAGGAACCTCTTGTGATTCGAGGTTGGACACAGTATAGAATCATTTGGGATTAAGTTAGATTTGACCAAACAAGGGTTCTAATTAACGATGATTGTTACAAGCTCCTCTACCACATTGCAATGACAAGAACCTTTAGATTTTCGTCGCGTATGACTCCCCTCATGCATTTCAATTTGCAATAGATTGTCAGTAGATGGTTGTTTGCCGAGTATCCCAGTTGGTGCAAGTTTCCTCCATTTCAAGGGTGATCTACCTTTCCACTGTTCTAACTGTCGTAGCATTTCTTCCTTCCCCAGGCCGGTTCGGTTGAGGCAGCAATGGCTTCAATGGCTCTCTTTTGTACCACCAGGGCCATGACAATCCTTTTATGTGATGTCAGGTGTTTTGCATTTGGTACCACTGTATTTCATGCTTTTGATACTGACCGCGGCGTCACATACTGCAGAAGGCAGGGGCAAACATTGTTGATTCCAAGATCGAAGTGAATCAACATGACTGGTAGTCACTTAGTAGTCTTTCTTTTCAGCTGAGGTTTGCCACTGTACTCTTTTCAGTTGCGGAGTCGCAATGCTCTCACCCACATTCCTGTCAAGTGACAACTGGGTTCAGCTATCCTCCCACGAGGCCTCTGGCTTGCCGCAATATGGCCCTCGCCTTGGGCGTCGTTGGTTTGGTCGAATGGTCGACCACACCCATTCATAGGTGTTCCTCTTCATGTTGACACGTCCACAAGTTACAAGGCAGACACAGCTGGCCCATGCTGGCCTCACTTGTTCGTTTGTGGAATGATTAGGGGTTTGCGTCTCCGAAAGGCGCAAAAGCATTCATTCAGAAGGCCAATGGCCGAGACAGTGTGTTGGAACGACCTTTGAGCCGACTGAAGGACCGCTAGGTGTCATCACACCGATCAAAAAAGATCCCAAGGATACTAACATCCACCTGCCAGCTTCAAACCTACATTGGCTATGTCTCAGGAATCTTAGAGGACACTGTTTGTTCGTTCAGGTTTCAAGCCGTGTTCAGGACCTGCAAATCGTACTTCCTGTTTCATGCAGTACGTACTTCCCGTTGGTCGGCCTTTTTGGGCGCCTTTGTCTTCGCCTCGTTTTGGTAGAAACGAGTCTGCCTGACTCGCCTCACCTCCCCCCTCCCAGTGGGCGCTTCTCATTGGTGGGTGAAGCTCCGGCGAACTGCCAGGGATCCGGAGGCGCGGTGAAGGTCCGGTTGAGTCGCGGGTTCGGTTTTTGCGGTTCTGGGATGGCTGTTTGGTCCTGGTGAAATGGGAGTCATTAGGTTAAGCATGTTAAGCATTTGGTCTTCATTGTTAAGTTAGTGCTGCCTTTTCAATGTATCGAAACTTTTGTTGCACGCAGTTACCTGCACCACGGTGTAACTTTAAGCTGTGCGTCGGGAGCTCGATTTGGAGGGTCGGAAAAGTTTAAGCGTGGTTGAGAGTAATGTTTATATCTATTACAGCATAGGCATGTATAAGCTATTTTGCGAGGGCATCTGTAGCACCGCCAAACTTGAAGCTTTTCGTTGATGAGAAAAAGAACAAATTTGATCAAATGTGTTTGTTCGCGTGAGTACACATCAAAACAGTCAACACGCAGCAATGTTTCCCTCGACTGATAGGGGGCCTCCCTTTGAACGAAACCATGCATCCAAAGACGAGACGAAGCATTCAGCCGGATGTTGAAACGAAACTCCAGATTATTTACGGTATATAATTTAATATCTCCATAAATTCAAAGGGCGCAATTTGGACCTTGCAGGTGAAGCTGTGGACTCGAGATTGCTGCAGCGAAATCTATGGTACCTTGGCGTCGGACGCGGTTTCGCACAGGTACACGGGCGGGGCTTGTGTTTGCGATGAATATTTGTGAGCAAGAGATGTACAATACTGCTACTCACCCCGATCGTAAGCACTTCATCGTCCAGGCCAAGACTCATTGGACATGTGTCTTCAAAGTTTTTGTGACATATTTGTTGAAATTTCAGGGAAAAACACAGTCACAGGTCTTTCTATCCGGAAGATGAGTGTTGCCAGCTGCCCATGTCAACTGGAATACCATGTTATGGACGTCCCCTGCAGAGAGAGAGAGAGAGAGTGTGTGTATGAACACCTGCGGAGAACGGGCTTGTGCAATCTGAGAAATCATCACAGAAGGTTTGGGATAACAAGCGATTTAGACGAGGGATGACGAGGGTATGCATTGATCATCATTGATCCATATGAACCCCATTATCAAGTTGTAGACATGACTGATCAGAGACACTGGAAAAAGAAACGGTTCTTGCTCCGGTTTTCAGGTCGCCAGTTGTTTGTTCTCCTGGGCAACAGCTCCGATGTACGTCATGCGGCCGAGTGCGCAGCATTGGAGGTGGTTAGCCGGCAGGGCGCATCTGGGGAGAACATCTGAGCCGGTGAAGTTTGGGCATGGATTTTGCTCTATATGTTTCTGTTTATGTCTATCCCCTTCCTGCAGGTTTCCTTGGCAGGAACCGATATCTTCAAATTGAGGTTAATAAAAGGCTGCGGGATATTGGAAGATGTATGAACCTTTCAAGAACTTCCATACAACTCCATCTACCGCCAGCTTGAGACAGCAGCGATCGGATCCCAATTTCTTCAACACAAGTACCGTCCTAGCATGTCGAAAAAATAGACTTAGTGGCTTGGATCATTCTGCCAGGTTCCTTTGACATAAAATAAGATATCATAAGCTTATTGGATCTAAGTTCTTTGCTTCAGGCGGCACAGACTCGATCAACCAAGCAGTTGTTGTTACCCCTATTTGATGATTTTTTTTTACTTTTTTGTGCCTTCATGTTGCTTGCTTTGGACAGGTGCTTGATGACCAGCAGGTTTCGACCATTTGCCTCGGGACTGGAGAGTATCTCTTTGTGGAGGCAGGGCGTGCTTCCTGTGCAAGCCTTCATACTGTAGGAGTTCTTTTGTTCTTTTGCCTGTATGAATGCCAGAGACTACTCGTACTGAGAGACTACATCGGAAACATCAGTATATTATCTACCCTTGTGAGAAGAGCGTTCGTTGTTGGAACAAGGATGTTCATGATGGACTCCAAAAGACATGGGCCGCAGTCTTGTATGCTGAAGTATGCAGTCACCGGCCGCTTCTCATCTTCCAGCAGCTGATAACTTGTTGCCTGGCACCTCCGGCGTTAATTCCCAGAGCTCAGTTCCTTCGCTTTGAGGCAAGGCCCGGCCGGGCTGAAGCTGAAGAGGTCGCAATTCTGATGCTTCCAGAGGCGCAACGACGGACGAGGGCGCTGATGCGGGCGTTGTGGTAGACCTGGAAGTGTGGAGATATTTGACACTTTGAGTTTTATGTGGTGGTCAAAAGTCAATACCGCTGGCTATACCCATACTATAATACTTACCACCATATGCCTGGGGCCTGGGGTGCTGTACCTACACCATATTATATCATTTGCTGATCATCCACTTGTGGGTCTACCTCAAATTGAGGAAAATACGAGTCTGGAAGAGGGCAAAAGGCTTGAAAGATGGTCAGAGCTGTCAAACCCTTTCATTTCTTGGGAACAGATTCGAGACAGACACAACTGATCCGCGATGGGTAAGCCGGCCGTCTCAAAGCCCCTCTTTGTTCAGGATTTCATGTGTGAAAAGTTTCACGTTCCCAGCTTCGTCTTGACATTGGCCTACTAGCGATGGCCTCCAACCTACTAGCGCAGGCCTCCAACATTGGATTCTGATGTGTCGCATGCGACCAAACATGTAAAATCAGTGGTGCCAAAGCCGCAAGACCCGACTGCCTCATGTCGCGTTCGTCGTTTGGCACCTCAGGTCCGTGTGCTCAGCCGCGATTAAACGTGGCCCAAAACCTACCGACCCGAGCGGAGTGCCGCGTGGATGGGGTGTAGTCAGGGAAGCGGAGGAAGGCTGTAGCAATTTGCCCCTCCTTTCCCAGCAACTGGAATCCAGTCCAATCCCGATAGCAGCAATCTCGAAGAATCTCATGACATATTATGGTTTCACACGGCCCAACAACTCGGTTATACATATGAGGTGGGGTCAAAATAAGTGTAGACTACTTTAGTCAGGAGAGGTCGATGTGAATGGCTTAGGGTGAGGATGTATTGGAAACCGATAAGGTCCCCCCCAAAACCGATAACCTATGTATGATGGTATTTATTATCATTTTTGACAGATCCTTGCGGTACCTGTTGCATGTCAAATGAAAGCCCCATTGACAGTACCCTAGTGAGTGGCTTCAGCCATATGATATGGAATCAATATTTTTGTTGCTGTGTTGTTCTTTTTCTAATCTGCAACCTTTCATTGAAAAATCCGGATTCTATGTGGCCACTACGCCGATAACGAAACCGATAACTCGCCGATAACCGTTTGGATATGTTTTCAGCTTTCATAGCCACTTGCCCAGAGCCTGCTAACGAGACAACTAAATTCCCTATCGAAGACATTGGTCTAGCCTTTCTTCTTGAGAACTTACGTGTTAGTATTTTACATCCCAGCAAACAGAAGGCCGATAAAGATTAAGATAGAGATAGGTACGCCAAATTTCGCAAACCCACTCGAAATTGCAATGCTTTTGTCCGCCGCTGACAAGCGAGCTGTGAACAAGCTCGTCATCCATTGCTTCTGATTTCAGCGAGTAGGTAGCTCCGCTTCATGCATCCACAATGTAAATGCGAATGCCAAAAGCATCTGATTAAACAAAAAGCTGAAAACCGATAAGGTCTCCCCCAAAAACGATAACGATAAAAAATATCCTTAGCATAAATAATTGATTTTGACCGTGGCTCATATATTTAGATGTTTAGCAGTGTAAAAACCTTTAAAATTCTGCGATTCTGCTCAGGAATGCTCAGAATGCTTTTGGTCAATAGGAAGGATCAGGTCCAAAACCAGCTCCTCTTTCACAACGTCTTGACTCAAACATCATTTTAGCATTATGTTTTTTGATGTTTTTTGTATGTCATCAACTCCCCATCACCCCGTGTATGTAAATTCAGGATCCTCGACCCACGCAAGTGGCTTCTGCACAAGTGGAGTGGGCCTTGCAACCATGGGTCTTCAGAAGCCTGTTTCTTGTAGCCACTACACGTGTAAGGAAAAATGAGTTGGATCCTCTTGGATCAATTCAATGATCATTGGATTCGGAACTTGCCACTTTGAAGGTTCATGTTTTGGGGCACAGAGATTCATGTACTGTATTCCACGAGAACCTTCACTTTTGAAGAGGAGTTTATCAAGTCAGAGGACTTGAGGTTCAAGAGAAGTGTCTTCCTTTGCTGCGGCCGTTGAAGATCTTAAGCAGACTACGTTTCACCAGTATCTGAGCTGGCCGAAGATGTTGGGCCCACAGTTGACCATGGCTAGGTTTGTGGCCGGGTGGAATTCTGAGTTCTGGATGCATTCATGCTAAGCCACCGGCTGCTTGGCGCCTTCATGTCAAGCAAGCTGTTTCCGGTTCAATCTGTTGACCAGCCAGAAAAAGAGAGCTGCCAAAATTGAGTCTTCCTTTCTGTGATCTCAAAGTCAGCTGCATGGTTTTCTTAGGCACACTAGTCACTAGACATCACTAGGTTCTATGGGTCTTTCTCAGGATTTCTCAGCCTTCATTTTAGTGATTGGATTCCCTGCCGAGGCCAGCTGATGCTGTTGCAGTGTGGGGCCTTGGCTTCCGATCACCTCAAAGGATCCCCAGAGTTTGCTTGCTGAACAGCTATCTAAAACCCAAAGGATTAATGTGATGTTTACATGTTTTCTTACCACTTCCCCAGATCCTTTGGGTCCAACACACTTCTGCCCAACATCCGAAAAAAGGTGTCCATTTACCTTGACCAACTTCATCCAATTTCTATGCATGCCTTTGCGGCTTCAACACTCTTTTGCCACCCATGAAACAACAGCAACAACAAAGAAACACCCACTCAGAAATCCACTCACGCCTCTCGCCGATCGAAGACGGACACCTCATGACGGTTCCCTCCGGTCGGAACCGCTCAGACGGCCATGAGCTCTGGCCTCCCCGCCTCGCTGGGCGAAGGGCGCCAGGAGGGCAGCGCTGCGCTCAGCGCGCTGGCCGAGTGTCGGAGGCGCGGCGTGGGAGGCAGTGGAGGCCCAACCGTTGAGATATGTTGAGATGTTTTTGGGTGATTGGCTGTGCATGTCTTGGGGAAGATGAAGGAAATTTGTGTGTAAACCCTATGATATCCTACGATGTGGAAGCCTCGTACATGTGAGTTGTATGTTTAAGAAGCTTCTATTCTTGAAGGGGATTGGGAGATTCTATGTAGAGATCCCGAGTGGCAGACTTTGGACATCGTACCTTTCACTTGGAAAATCGCTCTTGCTTTGTGGATGCTGTATTTTGGACTTGAAACTTAGCACTACCCGCTCTGGGGAAACTCAAGAAACACGTGCTCTTCCAACACCGGGCGCATGAAAAGGCACGTCGTCTGGGGGAGCTCCCTCAGCCAAAAAGGTCGTACAGGAGATGCCAGGAATTCTTCAAAGATCTGAGACTTATAAGACGCCCACACAGAATACAGTATGATGGAGTCAATATGAGTCAATGGTGTATTTATTGTGTATATGTGGATGTTTATGAGTACCATGGATGACTTTTCATGACCGCACGGGCTCTGGTGGTCTCCAAATAGAACAGTCATCAACAAAAAGGGAAACCCTCGAGCTGGACCTGACGGTGATGCTGAGCTCGGAACCGAGGGTGCCACTCGCGAGCCGTCGGGTGGGACGAGGCAGCGAGAGCAACAAGAGCAGTTGCTGTTGAAGGCCCAAGAGGAGCTTCAAAAGGCGGGATGGGCCTCTGCAACCCTTCCAGAACCGGCGAAACCGGAGGGGCATTTATTGTTCCGGAGATGTTTCGGAGGGAGTGCGGAGTGGAACTTAGAGGCAGATGCCTCCCACATGGAGCCGAAACATGTATATGTTTTTCAGAATGGGACAGTTGCTGATCTACCTGCTGGCAACTTGGACTGACGATCTGAGCTTGAAGGGTACATCCTGACATCTACACATGATCCAAAGTTTTGGAGAGTCCATCATCACCATGCATGCATCGCGAACCATGTTTCACATCTCGCATGCCACTGAAACCTCATCGAACTCCCCGAAGCGCTGGATCACACTTGCCTTGCCAAATGCACGCCCAGGCCGCGCGCCTTGCCAAAGTGGCGGGGGGCCTTGTCCGAGAATAATTGTTGACGTCTCTCAGCTGTCTATGGGTCCTTTTTGCAGCAGTGCGTCCACTGGCAGATGTCAGGACTATGTTAAGAACCGTTGTTAGTGCTGTATTGAAGCATACCAAGCAGGATTCTGCAGGAGCCCTGAGGATTTGGGATCTATGTTTTGTTGAAAGAACTGAAAGAATCAAGATAGAATTTGGGATTGTTGACGGAAGCCACCTGCCGGGGCTCTCCATGATGTGATCCTGTACAGGATTGACATGATACAGACATAATGACATATACATTAGCTAAATTCACTACATCGTAAATGACTTTTGAACGTACTTTACTGTCGTGGTGAACGTGTTGAAGTTGACGTGGTGCGTGCGTGCGAGCGTGCGTACGCGCGCCCGATTGGTGGGTGTGCGAGCGTGCGAGCGAGCGTGCGTGCGTGCGTGTGTGCGTGTGTCGGGTTGGTTTGCGACCATTGATGATATTCGATGAATTCTATGAGTTAACTAAAGAATGTTTGTGTGTTTTTTTGGGGGTCGGGACAGCTTTTTGATGACAACTGCCATGGCTCACTTGACACACTAGGCCATGCGGCATGGTATGGTTGATCTTGAGTTCTGGATGAAAAAAAGTAACTGTAGGATTGTTTGCCAGGGCTGAACACACAAATAAAATGTTGGTATTGTTTGCATGTACTAGGATTTAAATTCCATATTACTAACGAGGTCCACTTTCTACTTTCTACATACAGTTGGACGATGCTCCAACCATTTTGTGAGATGATGGCAGTTACAGTTACACGCTAGACATTCAGACTGCCTGCTTTGGCCCGTGGGGGCTGCGTGTGGCTCATGGCTATGGCCCTGGCTCTGAATGATGGCCACCATGAGCAGAACTTGAAGATAGCAGTGCCACTTGCTCTATCTTGCTTTTCTTTGCTTTATCGTTTTCGATTGGCTTTGAACCGACGTGTAAAGCTAAGATTCTAAGATCCTGATGTGACGTGTGTCTGTGAACCTTCTGGGATTGTTTATGAAATAGTAATAGTCATAGAGTCATAGTCATAGAGTCATAGTCTTAGTAATAGTAATGAGTCGTCATGAGTCATGGGCAGCGGCATAGGAAGATGAGTGCAATGAATTGAATAATATGTTATGTGATACGATACAGTAATAATTTGATATGATATGATTCGATTCTATTTTTAACATTGTTTTTTGATTCTCTGACTCTGATGTGATATATGGACTTTAGAGGCGCTGTGTTGTAAAGTGAATGTCTTCTTGGGTTTGGCGAGACTGAAATGAGGAAGATGGCCGATGCCTTTGTTCGAGACCATGCTGTGCGGCGCAGTGATGTCTCAGAAGGAGGGCGTGGGCGGTGGAACAAATGGTTGCCTTCAGCTCTACTGCGCGCCGCGTTCCTCGCACTTAGATCACTCAGAACTCAGAACACAGTGTGCAAAGTAGCTATAGTAAAAAGACAATAAGACATAGACGTGACATACACAGACAGTGACATAGACATGTTTGGCAGGTAAGCAGCTAAGCAGTTTCAATAGTCACTGTCACGGTCTCTGGAATTGGATGCGGGTGCCATTGCAGCATGCTGCATGCTGCTGCAGGTTTGGCTGGACAACATCGAGCGCTTTGGAAAGGAGTAATGCTTTGGCAAAATCTGTGACGTCCATGTCAGTGCAATCAGTTGCATATTGGCTACAAGGTTCAAATGGCTTTGTTGGACAGGCTTCTTGGCTTATGGAACGTAGGGAGTGTGGTAGTGCTGTGAGATAGCAGTTCTTAATATTATTGTGACATGACATGATTGAATTCAATGAATCAAATCATGTCGCGGCCATATCATATAATATTCATTTTTCATTCAGAGTCATCATTGAATATGATTCAAATGAATCATACAATTGGGGTCAATGGTTGTGAAGCAAGGTTCAAAATGCAGTGGCCGCTGTCTATATGCATTGCCAACGCCTTTACTGCAAAGCAATGCAGCAGAGCGTGACCTGCCTCAAATTCCATTGTGTGTGGATGGGCTAGGCTAGGCTTCTGACTGAAAAGTGAAAAAAGACTTGACATGACATGACATGGCGCTATCAACCTCGTTGTGAGAACCAATTCCAACTAAAACCCTGTACACGTGTTGCGAGGTTGCCTTACACAATGGTGACTTAATGGATTCATTTTGTTTTAGTTTTTATTCTGTCAAAGCGTGACCTTGTGTGGCAGGTGCCTCCTCCACCTGGTGGCAACTCTATCCACGTGGGCCGGTTGATCATTGAGTTCGATGAGACGTCGCAAATGCAAAAAATACGACATGGACACCATTCTGCCCATGCCGCCTTTTCCATTATGGATTCTTTGTTGCAAGTGGCAGGCTCTTTGTTGCCAATCAGGAGAATAGGCTAACTCCAAAGTCTCAGCATTGTTCCATGAATCATGAAGGATGTACAGTGGTGTGTGTATACAGTATACTTGAAATCATGGGAAAGATTTGAGATGAATCTGAAGATGATTTGATATGATAGGCTATGAGATATGAACCGAGTCTAACAGAGCAACATAGTCACATAGTAACATATTGGCATAGTAACATAACGTAACATAACATTAAATTATTATCAATCATTATATTAAGTCTAGCAATCCTAGTAATAAAAGTATATGATATGCAGCGTGTTGTATCATCAGCGCAGTCGGTGTGTGACTATGTGACTATGTGACATGTGTCTATGCGAAATGTGACATGTGTCTATGTGACTCTCTGATTATGTGTCATGAGTCATAAGTCATTTGTAGACTCTGATTGTGAGTATGACTCTGACTAACTATAGACTAGACTATATACTATAGACTCGTCTATAGTCTATAACTGACTGTAACTATGACTAGAGACTATGACTATGACTATGACTGACTATAATTTATGACTCTGACTCTAACTAGACTAGACTATAACTATGACTAAGACTAAGACTATGACTCCAACTTTAACTATGCAGCAAACCATGAACGCAAACCGCGCTGCAGGTGCAAAGATCTACTCTTCTTTCGGTGGAAGCCCGGATGCCAGCACGGCTCTTTGGCTTAAGCCGTGGCACACATGACAGCGCTAACCGAACTTGGAAGCTGGTGAGTTGCTTCTAGTTTCTTGATGTTTTGTAGCTGGTTCCCAAACACTTTGCAACAAAAATAAGGTACGCTTCCTTTGTTCATTGTCTGGCAGCGCTTGAACGTGCAACTGCTGGAGGGATTTGGCAAGGTATATGCGCAAAGTCACCAGTTCATCCGTTGAGTGGCTTGGTAATGTTTGCATGGGTGTGGAGCTTGGGGTGGCAAGAAGCAAGTGTTCTTTGTTTGAGATGAGAGATGTACGAGATAGATAGAGTTTTGCGCCTTGATATTGACAATTGATAATTGACAATTGTGATGATGATAATTATTATGATATGATATTGACATTGATATATGATATGATATATGATATATCGATATGATATATCATATCGATTGGTTTGTTGATGAATTTAGTTAATGTAAATTGTAAATGTAAGTAGTTTACAAAATAATTCTATAATATGATGTTACATTACAATGATTTGCAAACTCAGGACGGGTTACTCTTGTTCTGTTTGAGGTCGGAGTACAGCATGCAGCATGCGTGTTTGTTTCGATCGGTGTTGTCGGTATGGTCACCCCTTGTCATTCCAATGAACGGGATCCGGGATGTATTCATTGTGTACATAGCGCCCTCCAATCTAGAATCAGCATTATGTAACTATGTAACGTAGTTCTTTCTTTCATTTCATCAATCATTGAAAGAACCCCCGGTTTCGTGAATCAATTGACAGCTCAGATGGTTCATGATTTAGATCGATTTCAATCAACTGGTGCAAATCAATATTGTTTTAAATAAAGAATGGTCATCTTGCAAGGCTGGGCATCAAAATTCCACATCTTCATCCTATCCTTCATCTCGGACTCAGCGCCAGCAAATTTTAAGATGTCACGATGGGTTGGTAGCCAGTTGCCTACAAACACCTTGATGCTTCACCACCCCTGCGTTATGCCGCTTGGTGGCATGGCTAAGTCAATGTCACGTCACGCATCATGGTGGAACTGGTGGTTGTTGTGTCTAGGTTCCAGAGTCTATGGGACTAAGTTAAATCAAGTCAGATTGGTACAGTATTTGTTTGCATTGTTTGTCGGTCAGCCAATTCTATGAATCTTTGCTTCTGATTCGGAATGTTCAATGAATTAAAGTTTCTTGGTCTGTCACGCTGTTGTTCAATTGAGGCATGAGGCAAATCACTGCGTTGAGAGCATCTGGCGGGGAAGTGGATTGAACGCAATGCTCCTTGGCTATTGATACAGCCTTGAGCCTGCTGAAATCATAATCTTCAGCAGGTGGAAATAGTACAAGCATTGCTACAAGCATCGATTGACATTGATTCGATATTGACATTGACCAATTATCATATCATATCATTATATTATATCATCAATCATTCATTGACAATATCATTATTGTTATCATTTGGTACTGACACTGTTTCATTAGCAAAAACAATATTAAATAAGAATAATATAGACTTAGAATAGTAATTAGTCAGAGTCGTAGTCACATTGATTGATATCGACAGTGCCTTTTGTATCAGAATCATCTTTGTCAATGTCACGTCTTCATCATCATTTATCATACATTGTTACATCGTAGTGATATGATATTATATTATAGATTGATCAACCCAGTTTCCTGCACAAGGTTCTGTGTGTCCAATGTGATCTCCTACGGGCACACTTTCCTGGACATCATCCTGCAGGTGACCTATGTGATAAGAGCAACCATGGTGATTTCTCACTCGCCTCCTGATCCTCGGAATCGTACATATGCGGAACATGTGCTGAGACATGCTGGGGTGGGAAACAGCACTGGTGGAAAGGACAGGACACAGAAAGGTGAGCGTTTAACTCTGTTTT